TAGTTCCACAACTCACTAATTCATTTCATTGTCTTATTACCTACTAATAAATACCTCACAAAAACCCAAGTTTATAATATTTGATTTTATTCTTTAAATATTTATTAAGTTAAAGATATATTATATAACTAATTTCCCTTTTTCAAATTTATATAAGAAAAGAATTATATTAGTAATAACGAATTCGTATTACTTTTACAAATATAAAAGATATATAAATAAGATATTAGAGCTAAATTATTTATTATTTCCTTGTAATCTTTTTAATTATATACTAGAAAATTTAAATATTTATAAAAGTTATAATTAAATACCTAATTTAAAAATAATACTTATAATTTATTAACTTTTTTATTTCTTTAATTAATAATTATAATACTTTAAATCTTTGGTTTTTACTTTTTACTTTTATTAAAATTATAATATTAATAAATAATATTAACTTCTTTAGCTTATTTATAATATAAATTAGATTTTAAATATTCTAATTAATAAAATAAAATATATTTTACTAAAAATAAAAAATTGCCTTAGCCTTAATATAATTATAAAAGTAAGTAAAGAAAATAAATACTAATATAAATTAAAGGTTCCGAATAATATATTTATAAAGTTAAATTAATTTAATGTTTTTAGTAGCTAGTTACTAAATTAAGAAAGTAATATATAAAGATATCTTTATATAATTTTAAAAAAAAATAAAGTATTATTATAATATAATTAAAGAAATAAAATATTATAAATAATAATAAATTTATAAATATAAAAAATTAAAAAATATAACTAAATTTAGATTATTACTTATATAATAATTAAGTTTTAATTTATTACTAAATATATCTTTAATTACTTCTTACTTATTTACTATATTAATAATAAATTTTGAAAATATTTTTAAGAATTATTTTAATCTTATATTTATAATTATATTAAACTCAGGTTTTTTATTTCTTTATAACTAGCTAATATATAATAAAGTTATTATTATTAGTTATAAGAAAATAACTTCTTTATATTTCTATTATAAATTCTTATAAGAACTTATTAATTTATAAGATCTTAGTTTAAGAAATATATATCTTTTTAAATATATATAAAGTACTTTTATTAATATAATATATTACTAATATTTCGAAGTTATATTATTATATATATTGTTATAGTCGTACGCTCTATAGCTGTCACGTGCTCCCTGCACGTGGTACACTAGGCTATATTGGGTTAGGCTGGTTCGCATGCTTACCTGGCGTTCGCACACTTGTATATACTTCTCTCCTTAGTTTAGTATTATCGGAATAGAGCCACTCTAACCTGCTTTCCAAGCCCGGAGCTCAGGCCTCGTAACACTATACTAAACTCAATCCAGGTCCCAGGGAGCTTGCGAGCTCATTTTTTGTCTTCTTTTAGCCTGCTTGCGAGCGAGGGCACTTCCATTTTCAGCCTGCTTGAGAGCGAGGGCACCCCCATTTTTGCGATTCCAGAGCTTGCGCGCTCTATAGACCCCTTCTTATTTACGACTATACGGCGTCAGTTGACTGAAACTGAGCAAAGGCTGTAAGGAACGTACCTCAATTGACGATATGGCATCCCCCCCTCCTTTCTATCGACTACCAATGACTCGACCTCTTTATTGAGCCTGTCGATCGAGAGCTGGCACCTGACTGCCACACGAAGCTAGCACCTTACTGCTATCGCACGAACGATACGATCCACGGCGTATGCCTGCAGTTAATACTAAGCTAATATGAACGGCTATAAGGAACAAAGCTATAGGCATATACTGGATATTGCATCTACGGACAATTTACGGCCATTTTGGGTTCTCTTTACTGAGCCTTACTCAAAGAGCTGGCACCTGACTGCCACGATAAGACGATTCCACGAGCTTTACTCGTCCTGCGAATTTCTCCTCTCCTCTCTCCTCTCGATTTCGACCACAATAGCTCTCCTCCACTAGCTTGGCATATACACTGCAATGGAAAGGAGGGTATAGAGGGTATACACACTTCCGGCCAGGCTCCCTTCAACCAAGGCTAGGTGGCCTCGATTTCAAGCCCCTTACCTCTAAGCAAGACACCAATACTTGGGCGTAAGGCTGGCTAGACACCTTAACAAGACTCTTCTCTTCATTCCTAGCTCTGGCACAAAGTAGAGCTTTGGAAACCACCCTTTAAAAACCACCTCTTTGGGAACTGCTTCTCTGGTATTCACTCCTTTAGTGTTCGCTCCTTTGGCACCTACTCTCGGTACAATCCCTATAGCTCCTTTTGCACGACTTACTTCTCCGCGAGCTCGATTAATCTCCCCTTTGCGGCACGTGTATATACTATAGTTTGGGTCTAGGCGTATGGTTCTGGGTTAGGAGGTTACATTGGATACTGGTTTGGAAGGCTTAAACGGGTATAGTCTTGTTTGAGGGTTCTAGTCGCTCAGGGACGAGCTTTCTCTGAGGGGGGGGGTGTCACGGCCTGGACAAGCTGTGGAACTGGAATGTGGTGTGTTTGTGTAAATATATGTATGAATGATGGTGCCCTAAGGGCGGTGAAGAAGCTATATATACGCCTATGCGCAGCACGTGACAGGGGGTAATATTATGGTCGTATACTCTATGGCTGTCACGTGCTCCCTGCACGTGGTACGCTAGGCTATATTAGGCTAGGCTGGTTCGCATGCTTACCTGGCGTTCGCACACTTGTATATACTTCTCTCCTTAGTTTAGTATTATCGGAATAGAGCCACTCTAACCTGCTTTCCAAGCCCGGAGCTCAGGCCTCGTAACATATATAATACTTAGCTAATTATAAATAGAAAAAAATAATTTGATTTTACTTATTAATATAAATAAACCTTAAGAAGTTTTTACTAAATTTTCTTATAAGAATAATAATTTTAAATAATACTAAAGACTTCTAGATAATCTTATAAAATAGCTTTATTAGTTTATTAAAGTTTTAATAAAAGCAAGAAAGTAATATACTTTTATTTTAATTATAATACTTTCTTATTTATAAAACTCGAGGAAGTATTTTTAATACCTTTATTTATTAAAGAAAGGCCAGATTTTATTATATAATTACTTATAAATATATTTAATTAATTAATTCATTTGCAAATTCTTTTACTATTATTAAATAGTTATTAATTCTCGAAAGTATTATATTATATATAATAAAAACAAAGCAAGCTAATAATAACTTATTAGTTATAATTATTAAAATCTAAGTTAATATTATTAAAGTTCTTGAAACAAGTATTAACGAGTTATTATAAAATCAAGTTTAATATATAAAATGCCTTTCTTAAGTACTATAAGCTAATACTTTATTATTATAAAGAAATAAAGAAATAAAAGACTTGACTTTTATTATAATGCTATAAGCCTTTATATAATTAAAAAGTACTTGAAATCTATTAAATTAAGACTTCTTTCTTATACTTTATACTTATACTAAATGCTTATACTAAATGCTTATAATAACGTTTTGTGTGTGTATTGCAATAGGCTTATAATTAGATTATCTAGAAGTTAGTATTGAATTAGTAGTCCCTAGTTCTAGACCATTATATAGTTAGCTGGCTCCGAATAGTTTAGTTCGTCAGGCTCTATCCCCTATGTTTCTCCCATAAATTTTGACTCCGGAGAGGTTCGCAAGCAGGAAAGGAGGTTGAGGCGATCACATTAGTTGTTAAGGAATACATCTCGCATGAACGCAATCCATTCGCACTCGAAGCTAAGGTATAAAACTCCTATCCCCTTCTTCACTCAAAACACCCCAAATCCAAATCCTGTTATTGATACTAAAAACCTATCAATAAAACCAAACCTCCGTCCATGCTTCGATGCGCTAATTTTTTGAAAAAATATGTCCTCCCCTCAAGAACTAAAGGAAGAACGCTGCGGCCGCAACAACCATTGCCAAGCTGCTACCAGCTTGCAACCTGCTTGCTGCGCCCTTGAAGGAAAACGGGCCGCTGCTTGGTGAAGAAGAATAGGTGAGCGCGGTGGTGCCTGCGACGGTGTAGTTTGCCGTTGGTGTGTACTTGGTCGGTGTGTATTGGACGGGCTTCACTATCTCGGTGATCATCTTAACGATCGTGAGGGATGTCGTGGTAGTTGATTCTGGGGAAGCGGTTGGGTATGCAATTAAGCCCTTGCTGATGGCCTCGGAGACTGGGCACACGGTGATATAGTCGATGATCGTCTCGGTTGTCACGGCGCCGAGCTTGGCTGGGCAGTTAGTCACCGTGGGTGCACAGGACGTGATAGTATAGACGGTTGTCGTATAGGCTGTCAGTGTTGTGTAGGCTGGTGCTGAGGTTGTGTACACTGGGCTTGAAGTGGGGGTCGGGTTGCCTGGGCAGTAGGTTGTGGTTCGTTCGATTGTGTCTGTCACGACATAAGTGTGTGTCGACTCGGAAGCGGGGCAGTTTGTGACTGTCTTAGCACAGCTAGTAATTGTTCGAACTGTTGTAGTAGTAATAGTCTCGGTTGTATAAGATTTGCTGTGGGATAAGGAGGATTCCGAAGAGCTGCAGCTCGAGGAAGTGGATGTAATAGGGTAACTATCGGTCGATGATGACGAGGCAGAGTATGAGTCTGTGGTGGAAGCGCTATAGCCCGAGCTCGTCGATATAGGATAGCTTGTATCTGTGGGCGAAGCGCTATAGGAATCCGTTGACGATGAAGAGCCCGAATCTGTTGTGGAGGCGCTATAGGAATCTGTTGACGATGAAGAGCCCGAATCTGTTGCGGAGGCGCTATAGGAATTTGTCGACGTGGTTGGAGAGCTCAGGTCGGTGCTTGAAGCGCTATAAGAATCTGTCGATGTAGTTGATGAGCTCGAGTCTGTGCTTGAAGCGCTATAAGAATCTGTCGACGTGGTTGGAGAGCTTGAATCTGTACTTGAAACGCTATATGAATCTGTCGACGATGTCGAGGAGCTAGCTGCGGCCGTCGAACTGCTTGAGGTGGTTAGCGGAGCAACATAAGGCGCGTAGGTGAACAAATTGAGGCGGTCTGAACCACCACAAGTCTCCGCTGGATTGCCAGCGCAGGGCATCACGCAGCCATCCGTAGCCGGAATACTGCCTGCCTCTAATTCATTACCGCAATAACACTGTAAAAGTCAGATATGGAAAGAAGAAACGAGGGAGTAACACACCTCTCCGCCATACTCAACGCCGAAGTAGAGAGCTCCTAAGGTGTAGCAGAAAGCGGAACATGTTTCTAAGTCCATGGTTGAGTAGTTGACTTTGGTTCCCAGGGTGAGTGCCCGGGAAGCGGTAGCCTCAGTGTAACAACCGATCTCGACCCAGTCGCCGACAGTGACTAGCGGCGTGGCAGGCGCGGTTGGAGTAGATGGTGCTGTGGGGACCGTTGTGGTAGGGGTTCTGCTCACAGTTGTCAGAAAGAATCCATGTAACCTCAAAACTCAACTTACGTTGTAGTGGCAGCTGCTGAGCTTGTGCTAAACATGCAGTTAGTAATTTCATGGTCAGACGAGAGAACCCGATACATACGAAGTGGCACTGGTGGTAGTTGCCCTGAGACACAATGTTAACAATGTGTTCATTTATTGAACAGGGAATTTCTTACGTTGTGCTTGTGCTGGCAACGGCGTTTGACCATTGATAGACCTTCAAACTTCTCACAGCCCAGTACGTCTCAGAATAATCACCTGGGTTCGCACCGACGTAGTCTGAGCAAGTTGGATATGCCACAGGGTCGTAGCAGCTGCTTGTTTGCCAGACCGCATTTCCCCAATCTCCACAGAAATTAGTATCAAGGACAACGGTATGGTCGATGAAATGTCTCGCGATGTCACAGTTGCCACCCCAAGTGGTGAAGATTGGTTTGCCCCAAGTCAGAGGATCCGGTGTGCCATCCGCAATATCAGCAGGAACCGCGCCATTTTCCCAACTCCAGATCTGGATAAGCTCATCGGTCCACTCCATTGCGTACACGCCTCCCTGGGCTAGGTTGAAGCCGTCGCCGAAGTTGTTCGGATTGTTGTTGTTCGCAGAACATCCCTGACCCGAGTACTGAGTCTTGGTACCATAATCACTCGTCGTTGCATTCCAAATGCAGTTGTACGTTGTTTGTGTACCTGTCTGTTGACCTGGAGAGGTGTTGACGTTTCCAATAACTTCGCAAACATCTCCTGGGAAGGTAGGTCCGGCGTGGATGGTCTCTTCACTGAAAGATGCTAAATTGACGTTCTCAATGATGTCGATCTCGCCGTGCTCTGGCCAGTGATTCATTGATGTCGTCCAGAATGATGGCCAAGATCCACACGCCCCTCCGGGCATGTGCGCCAAGTCCAAAATGAAAAGCCCATACTGATAGGTGTTGAGGGTCTGCGCTCGAATACTTGGTCGTCCAGTATCTACCCCAGGAGTATAGGTGTTGGTATCATCTACACGTATTATCGCCGTATCGGTAGCAGCATCATAGTAGGCAAGCGAATCGAGCAAAGCGCTGCCGGCACCAATATATTCCACAAAACCGTAATTCGGATCGAGGGTCTGCATCTGAATCAGCTTCTTATCTCAATCGCAATGTCCATGTCTCATACCGCGTTGAAATAGAAGTTATCGAAGAACGTTGGCCCCGAAAAATCATCTAAAATAACGTAATTCGCTGACACCGTAGAGGCGCAGGCAAGGGCAAGAGCGCCCGCCTTGAAAATGAGTGAAGGAGACATATTAAGATATTAGAAGAAGTAGCAGGAGTTATATTCAAAAGAGTGACTAGACGTATACACGCCAACGAGGAAAACAATGCTCTCAGAACGAGTGATGAAAGTATGTTTTGGCCTTGCAGAACATCATCGTGGGCACACACGGCTTTTTGATCGGGTATATCAAATTGCTCACCCCCTGAACTTCCTAAGCTTTCGCCGTCCCCACCAGCGTCAGGCAGAGCCTGAATCCGAGGCTTACGATAGGGCCAGTGAAAGCGGCGTTTGTGTTTTGGCTTGGTACCTGCAGCGCAAACAACTGGTGAAGCCTAAAAACATCCCACCGGACATGGGTTTCCCCACGATGTCCCCCTCTAGATTTTGTGAGGTTGCTCGAAGAACCCTGCCTTCTAGCCGAATCGAGAGCCTCTGCCGCTATGGGAAATGATGAACGTGCTGTGAGTGGTGTGGTGGGAGATTGGATAGTGAGTGAAGGAAAACCGGGAGGGAGTGCGAGGGACTAGCGAATTGGAGTCAACGCTTGTCGCTCGATTAGGTGTGGAAGACCTGGAGTGACCCCCTTCAAATGCAACCATCAGAGGCTCACCCCTGGCCTTCCTGCAGGGCCACAGCGCATCGTTTTGTTGCAGTGTGGCATGCTTCGTGCTGCGAATGCCTTCAAGCGCACCCCCTATTCAATTTCCTTCTAATAGGATTCCGTTAAATCCAAGTTTTGCTCGATATTAATGCATCTTCCTGGCTGGCAAGCAGCAAGCTGAACAATCCAGCATCGATAGTCGAGTGGACCAGTGAGCCAAACCCCACTTATCTGCATCCAGGCCGATAGCGGCATCTTGTCCGCGTTTCCGTGTTTGAACTTTGAAGTTATTCCCTGTTTGAAGTGGAGGTGGAGGTGGGGTCATCTCCACGATTCCGCTAAGATACTGTAGGGGATGGCTTGCCATTATTGATTTTGGCGGCCGCTAAAAGGGGGTTGCCGATTGCCGAACCATTGGGCTTGCTTGCCAGCCGTGATGCGCCTCCAAGGTTCGCTGACAGGGGCGACGCAAACCAAAAGCACTCTCAAGTTTCAACGGCACAGGAACTTGGTGACCATGAAGTTCGCAGCGGCCCGATCTTGCCGAATCATGGACTACGGACTCAATGAGACACCGAGTAAGAGGCCTTTGATCTGATGCTAGAGAGCGAAGACTCTGGAGGAGTTCGAGTGTAACGTGTGGTGCTGCTAGCGAGCAAACCTTTCCAGCTTGTCGAGAAGAAACGCAAACATAAAAAAGGCTTTTCATATTCACGTGGTGCCCCTGCGCGGGACGATCGGCCCTTTTGGCCCTTCCTCGTGGCCTCGTCATCGCTTAGAGCATTCGACGAAACCTTAAAGGATCCTCCTTCTTCATACCTTACTCTGATATCCTGCAGGTTGAAGTCGTTGGGATAAGGTTATCGGGCCATCTCCTCTGTTTCTCAAATTCGCAATGAGTGTCTTGCCTCGGCGATCCCCATCCACGCCTATCTTTTGCCTCTTCGATAGAAGGGATCACCAGCCAACCGCCCAAATCACTCAACCGCCCAAGTAAAATTTTGGAAAATTTTCAAAGGGCTCAGAAAATTCTGAAAATCTGTGGAATGACTAAAGCGAGGTCGTAGATCACGAATATTAACTTGTTTTCTTCATTTTGGGATGTGGTTGTGGTGTGGTTATAGTAAAACCATTTTTTGGGCGGTTGAGCGATTTGGGCGGTTGGCTGGTGAACCCTTCTACACACTTCGCCTCGCTCCTTCCAAATCCCACACTTCAACCTTTCTCCACCGAACGGGAGATCGAATGTTCGAGAAGTTCCTCGCATTTCCTACGGCAGCGACTTGGCTCGATCCATTTCTTTGTTTTTTGCGTCATTGTTTCATATTCTTCTTTATCCCTCTTCTTCAGGTCCCAGACACTGCAAGACATTCTGTCTCCGGTTTGAGTCCACATCAATCGCATCTCAAAGATGGGAGTTCTCAACACCAGACAGTCTCTGGTGATGCGCTATCTGCCAGATCGGCGTTGCGATCTATCGATGGAAGTTGATGGCTTCCAATAGTATTTTCGGTATTGTTTTTTTGCGGCGGTAAGCGAGTTTCCCGATTCGGCGTGCCTGACAGCCAACGATGTCAACAATATCGATCTTTCCGAAGCATAAAGAACCCGATTGGCCTTTTGAAAATGTTTGCGGCGAACGGCAACGGCAAGCTCTGAGCATTGCGCAAGACACCATTTACCGCTGAACTTCGGCATCACCCGACCTATGCGACCACCCTCCCGAGCCGGGTTCTTGGAGAAGTTAACTCTGCTCTTCTCGCTGCGAGCATGAAACCCGATGATGAAGAATCATGGGCTGCTAGGCGAGGCATGTGGAACGAGTTACCCTGTCCTCAGTCATACAGTTCGGATTTGTTTACTCCCCCTCTGTCTCCACTCGATCCACCGAAGCAGGGAACATTCAGGAATGAAAATGCGTCGGACGAAGATTTGCGCGAGCCTTACACGCCATCACCTCACACTTTTGGATCACATCGCACTCAAACATACAAAGGAGTTCAGCGAACAGTCAGAATAGCGGACACGGATCCATCTACGCCACTGAACAGCCAGTGGCCATCGCCTTTATCAAGCGATCGAACACCATCAGCTTCCAAAGAGCTCCACAGGTCAAAATCAAGCGGCCTCAGTCGCACAGAAATTCAAATACCAAATTATCTTGACTTCGCAATTATGGAAGAACACCAATCAAAGAAAGACGGGCTTCTTTTATTCCACAGCGAGTCTCTCGAAAAACTCGCCGCAGAAAAGTACTCAGACCACAGCCTAACTGCGCCACTTCGAACATCCAAACGCGCTCCTTTGCAAATCGATCCTTTTACCAGAAGCAACAAGATCCGATACCGTACCCCACTATCAGAATCACAGCTCACAACCGCCAAAACTGTCAATTTCGATCTGCTTCGCTGCTGCACTTTACTGCAAGTAAAGCATTCAGATTGTCTCAAGTTCGCCGACAACGCACTCGCGGTGGCTGAACGTGCTGGAATTCATCACTTGGCTAGCAAAAGCCAGTTCTATAGAGGACTATCTTTGATGGATGGGAAACAGTATAAAGAGGCGAGTGATGCTTTTACAAGAGCTGCAAGCGTGCGGGATTGGGAAGGTAAGGTTTGCAAATGGAAGATTGCCGCTGAGAGAATGTTCCGTATAGAGGCAATAATGGAGGAACATGACAAGATCCTGGTACTATTTGATGAGGACCCCGACGAGTATTGGGATGATCACGATCGATAATTTCAATCACGGCGTTCGAAGACGAAATAGACTCGAAGTCTCAATTTACAATGCGAACACGACACCATGAACAAAAGGACACAAAGCATTTACTTAATGCGCAAGTCAAAAGTACTTCTTTATCTCTCTGAAAACATGTTTTTCTCGTTTCCATCTCCTTGATTTCCATTGTGTTTGAAAGCGCTTTGAAAATGCACTCGCCGGATCCGGCCCCCTCAATATTTTCCCCCTCCTCAAAGAATCCAATCCATAACCACCCCGTAAACAATTCTCCTTATCCAAACCCATGTTCAAACAAAGTGTGTACCTCGCAAAACTTTAATTGTCAATTGATTTCTCTCTCAGTTTTGACCAACAATCATCAATTCAAACCCCATCGAAGTCAGAATCCAGTGACCCGACCTCGCTAAAATGGCACCTAAAAAGAAAAAGGGGTCTCCCTCTCCCTCGGCTAACAACCCACCTCCCGAAACCCCACCCAGCGTCTCCAAGGAGCCCGAGAACCCCTCAAAGTCCGGCTCCTCAAAACACGAGTCCAAGCCACCAGCCAGCAGGATCCCAATCCGGACCGGCTCCGGCTTTTCCACTCCTTCTCGCCCGACCACAGCATCCGCTTCCTCTATACCTGTCTTACGAAGAACCGTCCCTCCAAACACTACAGCGACAACGGGTCTAAGACTAAACCTCCGCCCTCTGCCGCTTTCATCATTCGTTAATAGGTCTGCTCCCCCAGCTTCGCTGCCTGTGCTCGTCAATACACTTGCTACCCCGACTTCAGGTCCGGAAGAAGGGGCTGGACCAGAGGGAAAGGGAGAGGGGGAGGGGGAGAGATCGAAGGCTCCCGAAGAGAAGTTGCATGAGGATCCAATTGCAGCTGCACCACCAGTAGACAGTGGTTCTCCAGCAGACTCAAAGAGTGAGGCTCCTGCAGCACCAAGCACACCCGACCCGAACGAGTTCGCCGTAGACAGCCCATCTGAAGTCAGCTCTCCCGGAGAGCTGTTCTCTGAGCCTACCCCTGGTTTTCCAAGCACCGATACAGCTTTTGGAAGTGGGGAGGCTGAGAATGAGGACACGCTCTCTCCTCCTCGCATCATAGATGGGAGGAGGATCAACACCCCAAGCGCTCAAGTTGCACCACTGTTCTCTGGCCCTGCACCGCAGCTTGGTAGCAATGATGGAGAAACAGCTTCTGAGAGCGGAACAGAGAGTAAGCATCCCACTGAGACGTTTTCTCCACCCAGAGAGGAGGGGAGCCAGGCTACAACACCGAATCCAAGCAAGCCTCCCACTGAAACCTCCTCGCCTCTCATCCCTTCAACCCAAGCCACGACACTGAGCCTATTCCCCTCCCCCTTGCGAGTCCTTCGTCCCGCCACTCCTCAGGCGACATCCGCTCCACCTCCACTTCCAACCCAAACCTCAGAGGCACCGGCAACTACAACCGCAAACGTAGATGTCAATGCAAGTTACGATGCCCCACCAACTACTCCTCCAGGCTCCTCCCACACCTTCTTCTCCAACAGCACAGACTACCAAGACTCCGCCCGTAAATACCCAGAGGCCACGGACGAGTTCGACAGGATGGCCACCATGTCCACCGACGCCGGTACACCTGTCCCTCTGCGCCGTCACCGCTCTGATCGACTTTTCCGCGAATCTGCCCACTGGGATCCATCCCCTTCATCTGGCCCAGAAAAATTCGTAGCGGCTTTCAGGCCGCAAGAGATATCTGATTTCCAACGATATGCGGAAGAGCATCCCGAAGACGAGGGGGTCAGAAAGGGGATCGCGGCCCTAGAGGGAGCGATGGGGAAGGAGAGGGAGCAGGTGATAAGTCATCTAACGCTTGTTAACGCGAATCAGCAACTGTCTGAGCGAATGGCGATGCGTGATCGGGAGATGAAGAGGGCGATGGCGGATGCGACTCGTGAGCGCAATGTTGGACGGTTCTCGCAGGATGAGATGGAGGCTGCGGTTCAGAAGGAGAGGAATAGTAGGAGGGAGGTTGAGGGCGAGTTGAAGGAGTGCAGGAAGGCTGCTGATCGGGTGGAGCGGGCGGATATCTTGTTGATAAAGGAGCAGGAGAAGGGTAGGGGGTTGGAGGAGAGGGTCGCGAGGTTGATGGCGGAGAATGGGGAGTTGAAGTTGGAGACCGAGGAGAAGGATGAAGAGCTTGAGAAGTTGAGGGCTGAGAAGGGGGATTGGATTTCGAAGGAGCAGTGTGCTGATTTTAATGCGGAAACATATCGGAAGATGGATGATCAGATTGTCGCTCTTGAAGCTGCGCTTGCAGCTTCAAAGGGCTCTGATGGCAGCGATGAGAATATTTTGACGGAAGAAGAGTGCAACGAGCGTTGCGCTCAAGAGAAGGGACAGTTACTAAACGAGAACGGGTCGCTCTGGGGACAATTGAACAATGCAGACGAGGCGCTAAGATGCTGCCAACAAGCCAACTCCGCGGAACCAGGGCAGGAAGCGCCAAGAAGTGATCGATCGCTGCGTGAACAAATCGAAGAATTGGGGCAAAAGTTGGAGAAATACAAGCTTGATAATGAGACGCAAGAACAGTTGCTTGTGGTTCACGGCGTTTATGATAGGGATGGTGTGCCTTATAACGAGCTTCTGGATGAGAATAAGAACCTTAAGGCTGAGCTGTGGAGTCTGGAGACTGCGAACAAGCAGCTCAACGAAAATGACCAGGATATCCAAGCTCAAACCAGGAAGGAGATGTCTCGCCCAGCAACACCCACACTAACTGAGAATCAAGCGGAGAGCGTTACTGCACTCAAAAAAGAAAGGGCTGAGCTCAAAGATTCACAAAGGGTCCTGAGACAAACGAACGAAAACTTGAGACATGAGATGGAGAAAGTCAAAGAAAAGCTGGTGGACACCAAGGAAGACAGAGATGCTCTCAAAGAGACTCTTCGAAAAGAAGACGGACGAAGCAGCCGCCTTGGTTCCATCATCCCACCCGAGGACCCAGAGCTGACCAGATGTAAAGAAACAATCGAAGATTATGAGAAAGACATAATGTTGCTGAAGAAGCAGGTTGAAGATGCCGCGGCCAGCTTCAGGATAGATTCGGGAGAGTCGGAGAGAGAGGTCACAGAGTTACAGGGAGCTGTTGACCATTTGATCTTAACAAACGCGATCAATGCAGAGCACTGCGAGGAGACAGAGAATCAGCTTCAAGTGAAGATCGAAGCACTTGAAGTCAAGATAGCAGCTCTTGAAGAAGCGAAGGCCGATCGTCAACGACAGATCAATCGACATGTTAGAAAGATTGCGGAATTGGAGGGCAGAAATCCAGGTATGAAAATGCATGCGACCCAGCAAGGTAATTTACTGACTCTGTTACTTCCAGACGCGCCAGATGCACCAATCTCACGCAAGTCCAGCTTAAACAGAGATGATGAGGAGATTCCAGCCTCAATCAGTGCAATGGAAGTTGTTTTCATTCGATGCGAGATACAGCTTGGGCAATTGCAAGCCGAACGTACACGATGGGGCTTCATTGACAACGACGCCAATAACGCGATCGCGGTTGCTTGTGAAGCACAACAAATGGCCGAACGGCTTGATGATCCGAACCTAATTGGGCGAGCCGTATTCTGGCGAGGTGTGGCTGAATTCATGGCCGGCAATAGCATGGTTTCTGAAGTGTTCGAGACCTCAGCTAGCCATCAGTGGACCGAACCGCGCGAGGAGAGAGAGCTCTTGCAAGAATGGTGGAAGGTTTCGAACACAGGGACTGTGGACAAGAGTACACGGTCCGATCCTAGCGTAAATGCAACTCCAATGCCAATTATATCATGGCCAGAGCGATCCAAGCAGAAGAAGACTGACGAAAAAAACACCAACGACACCAAAGACAACAAAGACAAGAAAACCAAAGCGGACGGAACCAAGTCCAAAGACACGAAGTCTAAAGGTGAGAAGAAAAAGAAGCACCGAAAGCATAAGCACAAGAAGACTGCGACCAAATCGGAACCAACTCCAGTACCGGATTCAGTACCATCCGGGCCAAAACAAGTGAATGGCTTGTGTGAAAAGTTTAAGGCTTGTATGCTACAGTAAACATAAAGCTGAGAGCAGGATAGAAGATGGTAAGGAGCGATACATGTTCTAGAGTGCAAATGCTTGGGATACCGCTATGCTTTGAATAGTCACACATAATTATACGCTTTGTTTCAAATCCATCTCGCATGCTGGAAAACCTAACGTTATATTGTGAATTTTACACTGGTAAAATGCTGCTGAAAGGAACATCCCAGAGCCAGCTTGCCACGCCCATAGCGCCCAAGCTCATGGTGAGGGCCATCACGAAGTTGACCTCATTATTGTCGAGCAAGCTCAACATCCCACTCTCTACAATCCGACTTGGCTTCTCGTCCCCGAAACTAGGCTTTCGAAACTTCTTCCTCGCGTCGTATTTGTCCATGTCGCCCATTTTATGGTCGAGTTCATCTTCAACTGCCGGGCCTTGCATTGGTATCGCATTCTTGCCCTCGCCATTCAAGAGACTCGCTTTGATCTCTGCGCGCTTTTTGTAGTGCATGCTGTTCGGGCCCTTCTTGGAAACGAGCACTCTCTTTCCTCCCTCGCCTTCGACGATTCGACCTGTTCTGGTATCTACCACGCTCTGCTGTAGCCAGCCTCCTAACAGGCTGTCCAGAACACTTCCCAGTGCTCCCCATAACGCCATTGCAAATGTGAAGCGATTCCTTTCTGTCAAAGTCCAGCCATGCATATCTCGCTGACCGGTAACTGGAGATTTTGGCGGACAGAACGGAGTCAGTGCCATTGATGTGGTGACAATGATCAAAGATCCGAGAAGACCCGCTGCCAACCCGTATGCTGTGACGCCTCCATTTGTTCCTGGCGGTACCTTTCGGAATGTAATGGAGGTTATGAGTCGAGGGTGGGATTTCGAGAGGATTCCAAGCTCCGAACTAAACGTGTCTGCTGCCACAGCAGCATAATTTGCGATGATGCCGACGATGAGGAGATCTCCTGGCCAGGAATAGCAGGTGTCGGGACTTTGCTGCCGTAGCTGGTAGGCATGGAGGAGGCAGAGAATCGAGGCAACGCCTGAGTTGGCGAACACTGCATCCATCAGTACTGCCTGGTCGGCCGCTCAAGGTGCTTACTTACCTTGGATATGTGTCCTTGCCCCTTCACCACCCGAGTTCCCGGACGATTGCATCGTGAGCTTAGCTTTGACATCGTGCTTTACCTGTTGCTTGTCAACAGATGCCCAGAGATTGCATTAGGTAGAAGATTCCATACTTTTGTGACTCGCGTGCCGGCTAGGAAGAACACAATAAGCAAGGCGAAAGGTAAGCTCCAGGGATGCACGGCATGTGCAATGGCTGTTAACGTTGCTGCGACGATTCCGGCTGGTGTCAAGGATTGATGCGACCAGGCGCGATATACCATAGCCAGGGTAACTGGCACAGCTATGATGGCCTTCATGTTGGAGTTGGAGAGCAATTGTCGAAGTTGTTGAAGAAGAGTGGAAGAGGTGATGCCTGGAGAGTTGCAATGTGGAGGTTTTGTTCACAAGACCCTTGGCACATGCCGTTGCAGGGGTAATCCAACGTCATCGCGGCTGAAACATCGCCCGACGAAGCTCCACCCAGTGGCTTCTTGAAACATATATCTTCACCTGTATTCATTATACTTCTCCAAGTCTCTCCTTTCGAGTGTATTTTATGAACGCTTTCTTTATTTCAGCGCATTCGATGGCTCTCCCATGGCTCGATTTGCTCGGAGCTCTCCACTGTCATCCCCACCTTTGGCGGCTTCTAAGGCTAAGAATGGTAGTTGCAGCGGCCCCCTGCAGTGCGATCTCTTATCTTTTGACAGTAGAAAATATGTTATCGGGAAAGTATAAATGAGTGTTGGTCCCAGACCTCTAATTTTTTTGTCTTTCTCATTGTTCCATGCCCCTTCCTTCGTCCTCCCTGCGAGTACTGCACGACAACAAGGCATCATGCTATTCCGCTCGTTCTTAGCAGCAATCAGCATTGCCTTCAACCTTTTTCCTCCCTCAGTAGCACACGAAGACCTCAATTACAATGCCAGCCAGCTTGTTGAGAGTCAGACCCTCGAGTCACCATACCCATACGACTTTCCGGTGCTGCAAAATGGATCATTGGCGGATAGCGGACGGTTCCCGATGCCATTGTGCAATGGCTTCAAGCTTGAAGAAGCCACAATTGATCAGCTTCAACGAGAACTGTCCAGTGGCAGGCTGACTTCGGTTCAGCTTGCTCTTTGCTATTTGCAGAGGGTATATCAGGCAGATGGATACATTAGGTGGGCTTGACATGGTACCCGAATGAGCATTTAATTGATTCAGTAACCAGAGCGATCATGGAAATTAACCCTGATTTCCTCGAAATTGCGGAGGCGCTCGACCGTGAACGTGCTCAAGGACGTGTTCGTGGGCCTCTTCATGGCATCCCTTTCCTGGTCAAAGATAACATTGGCACAAAAGACAAGATGGAGACAACCGCCGGGTCTTGGATGCTACTGGGGTCTGTTATTCCAAGAGATGCTCATGTTGTGCATCTCCTGAGGGAATCAGGAGCTCTCTTGATGGGCCATGCTACGCTGAGCGAATGGGCAGATATGCGGTCGAATCTTTACTCTGAAGGATATTCTGCTAGAGGGGACCAATGCCGATCGCCGTACAACTTGACTACAAACCCTGGTGGGAGCAGCTCTGGTAGCGCTGCTGCCGTGGCTGCGAATCTTATCACTTTCGCCCTTGGTACGGAGACTGATGGAAGTGTTATAAACCCTGCTGAACGGAATGCGCTTGTTGGGATCAAGCCTACCGTTGGATTGACGTCTCGTGCTGGGTGAGCGACCCAAGTTCCGCCTCGAATCTTGTTAATTCTCTGCAGCGTTATTCCAGAGTCGCACAATCAGGATACTGTGGGATGTCTTGCGAGAACTGTTCGTGATGCAACGTACTGCCTCGATGGCATCTACGGTCAAGACCCTCATGATAATTATACTCTCGTTCAACAAGCTCCCGCTGGTGGCTTCGCCCAATTCCTAGCCAACAAGGAAGCATTGAAAGGTGCCGTGTTCGGTCTGCCATGGCTAAGCTTCTGGCAACTAGCACCTCAAAATCAACAAGATCAGCTTGTCGAGCTTGTCGATCTCATCGAATCAGCCGGGGCAACAATCATCAATGGCACAGAACTCCCACACTGGCAAACAATCATCAGTCCCAACTTCTGGAACTGGGACTACGGTACCACACGCGGCTACCCCAACGAGTCCGAATATACCTATGTAAAAACCGATTTCTACAATGATATCACCAAATATCTAGCCGAGCTCAACAACACCGCCATCAGATCACTTGAAGACATCGTCCAATACAATATCGACAACGTCGGCTCGGAAGGCGGAATACCAAACGTCCATCCCGCGTTCCAATCCGGTCAAGACGGCTTCAACGCCTCACTTGCAACAGGCGGCATCATGGACGAAACATACTGGCAAGCGCTGTCTTTCTGCCACCGCACCACACGCGAAGAAGGCATCGATGCAGCGTTGTACAACAACGGGACTCAACTCACTGCGCTCCTCGTTCCACCTGATGTTGGGCAGACGTACCAGATTGCTGCTCAGGCAGGCTATCCAATGATTACCCTCCCAGCGGGCTTGAGTCCTGAGACGGGAATGCCGTTTGGACTGGCACTGATGGGAACTGCGTGGAGTGAGAAGACGCTGGTTAGATATGCGAGTGCGATTGAAGATTTACAGGCCAGTAGTGGAACGAAGTATAAGAGGACAGCTCCGCTGTGGCTGGATTATAGAAGTAAAAATATACCAGTTAATAATGTGTGACATCATAGACAAAGTATAGAAAATGGAAACGATCGTTCAGACAGAGCCAGGTGCATTGGTCATGGTCGCTAAGGTGATTGTCCAGACTGAACTAGGTATATTGAGTTTGCTGCCTGTGCTGCCTGATAGGACAGAGCGAGGATTCCTTGACTGTGTCTCAGAATGGCTGTAGGCACATCACAGTAGTTGGGAAGTATTTGGAGCAGTGACAAAGTGCAGTAGATGCAGCGAAGCAGGGGAGGCATGTAGGGGATGTGAGCAGACTTGGACTGTAGGATGGCTCGCAATTTAACGACTTTTGATATGGCCCGTGTGGTCAGGTTTGTATATGAAGGAGAGCACGGCTAGGCAGGGGTTGGATTTTTATGGCTAGTAAAGGACATTGGTTTTCCTGCCATTGCTCATTCAAGCTAGGTCCAATGAGGTCAGTACCTCGAATCACCCAGCTAACCAAGAAGTATATCCGACCACCACAACTCATCATCATTCCATCAAGCACAATCCTTATCAAGCTCTCATGTCTCTGCGTAAACTATCTTCCAATTCCACAAGGGTTGTCCCCACAATGCGGTTCATCAATCCAATTGCCCCAGCAAACGCATTTCTTATTGCATGTCTGAACGCATCTGCTGCCATCTCCATGGATCTCGATTGGCGTGGCGAGGATAGGTGTGAGGAAGAGGGCGAAGGTGAGAAGGGTGCTGGAGGGTTGCATCGCGAGTACAGGTAGAGTCAAGTTACTAAACTTGGGAGAGTGGTGGAGTGATAAATATTGCTGAGACTTTGATATGACTTGTTGGAAGAAGAGTATTATGGATGGAGAGGATGTCTTTATATGAGAAGATTGGAATTTAGGGTGTGCACAGACGGAGCTTTTGAATATAGAAAGACGGGCATTTTTTAGTAGTGTAAGACATTAAGAAAAGGAGGTAAGCACACATAGCATACTACAGTCGGTCCGATCCAAAAGCGAGAAAATAGTCGCCATTTTGCGTCCAGTGTGTCAAAGAATTAATCACATTAATCATGATTAGATTAGATTAGAATATGATTAACGTAATTCAGATTTTTTTTGATTAGATTAGAATAATTAATCAGATTAATTATGATTAATCTGATTAATATGTCACGTGACTATAGTAAATTAACTTTTACTTAATAATTATTAAATAAGTAAGGTACTTATTAAGCAGCCCTAATTAAAATATGGTAGGGCTTATATAATAATAGCTAAATACTAATTTTCTATAATAATAACCTAATTATCCTCCTCACAATCTTGGTTTTTCTCTGTTTTCTTCTCCTTTTTCTCCTCTTTTTTAGCTTCTTTTAATTCATCTTTAAATATTCCCCAGCTTTTTAAGCAAGCTATCATCTCAAAAGTACTCTTATTAAGTCTATTACATAGTTTAGACATAATAAGAGCATCTTGAGAAAAGAATCTCTCGCTAGTAACTAAGAAAGCTGGAATTCCTAAATATTTCCTAGCTATTAAAGCTAAAACAGGAAATCTAGTAGCATTAGACTTCTAATAATCTAATAGCTTAATCTATATATATATTAGTACCAATATATTAAAAAATATTAAGGAAATATTAGGTAATTATTTAATAGAATTTAAGTAAATTTTACTTACTTTCCTATCTTCTCTCTTTTCCTTCAAATAAGTTACTAATTCGTCTTCTATATTAGAGGACTTATTAGTAATATATATATCTAAGTCATCTTTATTGGAATCGGCCATATTAATATCCGAGGAATTAGATCTAGTATAGGATAAATTATAATTATATTTATATCTAAATATAAAATTAGTTATTAATTTATTAAAGAATAATTAAAGGAATTACTTATATATTATAATTGGTCTTTAATCTATTATATATATCCGAAGATATATTATTAGATAAGCTAATACTAGTTAATTCTTCTTGTTTAATTCGAGGATTAAGAATAAGAGCCAAATATAAAGCTTTACTTTTATTATCTAAAATACCTGTTTTAGGATAATATTTTCGAAGCTTAGCTATACCCTTATTAATAATATCTGTAAATACTTTGTTCTATTAAATATTAGTATAATATTATTAATAATATAAGAAGAATTTAAAAAAAAGACTTACTTTAAATTCCTTTTTAAAATTTTCAAGTTTATTATATATTTTATATACCTCAGGTATAATATAATATATAGTCGGATAATTTTCGGCTTGTAACTTAGTCGTAGCTTTAATAAATATTGAAATTATATTTAAAATATTATTTAAATAAGTAATTTCAATATTAGTTAAAACTAATCTTTTATTTTTAAAAGCCTTTGAATTAGAGCTATTAATAACTACTTTAATAGCTTTATATATATATAAAAAATTCTTTAATATATAATAAGTCAAAAACTACTGTTTTTTTGATCTATAAATAATTAGTATTAATTAATAATTAATAATTAAAAAATTAAAAAATTAAAATTAATTACTTACTAAGTTGAGGAAATCGAGTATTTTCTATATTAAAAGCTTTAATTTGAGCTTGTGACGGCGGGATCGAGGCAATGGTACAAAGGCTCAAAGATCCAGGAAAATCCCATGTATTAAGAATACTAAGCTAAGGAGAAGAAGGAGAGAGAGAAGGAAAGGGGATAAAAGGAGGGAAATACTAGCTAAAACCACTGAAACGCCGGCTAGCTAGGTGAAACCAGTCATGTGATAGCCACCCCCCTTTGGCCCCCAGCCAGCGCCGTCACAGAGCTTCTAATAACCGTCGGTTTTCTTGGTTATATTTAAGACCTATAATAGTCTTTCGAACCTTTCTCTAAATTAATAAATCTATAATTTATTAATAAAACTCTTATAAATTATATAGGAAACTTACTTATTACTTGTTCTCTCTCTTCTTTTTCTCTATATTTAAGTTCTTCTATTTCTTGCTCGTATAAATCTATAGAATAAGAGGTATTATAATTGTTCTTAATAAGAGCTTTTAAAATATCTTAAACTACTAAATTTAAAACATGAGCTATATAAGTAATATTTCCTTAAAACTTAATGTCTTTCTTATTATAATGCTTTATAAAAGCCTTTAATAAAGTATTATTTGAGCTAGTATTATCTCGAGTAATATTAATTTAAAGTTAGTTAATAATAATTTTAAATAAAATTAAAATTACTTACCTAGTTATATTATATTTAATATTATATTATTTTAAAGTTTCTAATAGAATAGAAAGCATATAAATACCAGAATATATATCCTTTAAGTCTTTTATAGCTAGTAAATAAGATTTTAATATAAAATCTTGATTTATAAAGTATTTAAAATTATATTAGTATATTATATTTTTAAAAAAGAATTTAATTAATAACTTATTAACTTATATAGTAATTCCAAGAAATGCCTTTTAATTTATAAAGGTATAAACATCTAAAGTAATAGAGAAGGTTCCTTGAGATTTAATATTCTCTTGTAATTCTTCTTTAATATTTAAACTCTTTTTAATATAATATAATTTAAGCTTATTTATAAGAGTTTTTAAATATATAGTAGATACTTGACTATAAAGTATTAGTATATATATAAATAAAGAGATCTGGAATAAGAACTTACTAATTTAAATAAGATATAAGCTTTATAAAGCTTAGTATAGTAATAGCTCGAAAAGAAATATTATTATTAATAATAAAGTTTAATAATAATTTCTTAAAGTAATTAGTAGTAAAGCTTTCTTCTTTCTGTCCCGATTACTTATTAAAAAGGATATTTATAGTTAATTAAGAGGGTTAAATAGAAGCTTTGCTTTCACCTATTAAATATATTAGTAAATCTAATTTTTTATTAAATATTAAATAACTTACTATTATTCTTACCCTCTTTAAAGGCCTAAAGGTTTATAGATTCATAGGAATATCGAAAATGGGTATAATAATTACTCGAAGGAGTATATATTCGTTAATTTATTCAAGTTTTACTATTATATTAATTAGTAAATATTTAATTATAAATTAATATATTAACTTACTTATATCCTCGAACTAAGTATTTAATAGTATATATATAAGTATCTTTGGGATCCTTTTATATTAGATCTAATATCTTTCCTAAGTAACTATATTTAAAGAGAGAGCCTTATTTATTAAGTGGTTTTAGCTTAAAATCAGGGCTATTTTGAGCTAAATTAAGCTTAATTAAGGATCCTTAAGATATTTTCGAGTATATCGAGTGTAGGTAAGTATATTTGTAATAGAAAGTTTATTAATAAGAGTGGTAGTTAACTTTTTATATATAATTAAAGTATAAGTAAAAGAAAGAAATCGAGGAAAATAGCTTATTTTTATAGAAAGTTCTAATATTCTAAGGATTTTGATACTATTCTTTTAATTATAAAGAATTTCTCTAATTCGAAGATTCCAGTTCTTTGATTTCTAATCTCTATCTATATAATTACTAATATTACTAAATACTTAAGTCGAGCTGGTTCTAGAAATTTCGAGGAGCTTCGGGAAGCTTAGCGAGCCTTGCTAAGCACTAATTGGGTGGCGAGGTGGCGCTAGAGCGGGAGCGGGCGGGAGCTTTACCCGATCTGGCTAGTTAAATCACGTGCATGGGGCACGTGCCCATTAATTAGATTAATCAGATTAATTATGATTAATCTAATTAATACGTGAATAGAATATGATTAATGAGTTTTTTTCGTGAATAGATTAGATTAATGGCCATTAATCTAATCTAATCATTTGACACACTGTTTGCGTCCACAGTAATTTTTAACCACAACCGCGACTAATCAATATTATGTAATTAAATTATAGAGAAAAACCAGGCAAAGAAATCCTATTGATCAGATTTTCAATGCGATTCGTGGTTAATTAGTAATTGGGTTTCAAAGTGCACGGATGGTTTTACTTTTTCGATTTTTGACCATACAAAAACGCGAAGTTATTCCAGGAAAGTCACGTGTACCTAAGTAAATAGTATTAAACTTAGACTTATAAGGCCTTACAAGGACCCTTAAGCTTCTATAAGCTTAGTATATATAGTAAGAGCTTAAATTTTGAGATTTACTACTAAAAAGAGTATAAAATATGAAAAGTCTGTGATTTTTAATCACGTGCGACCTCGTATAATACCAGGTCTGTTTTTTTACGTATACAATACGCTAAAATTTCTATGCGAGCTCGTATAAAAATGACTACGTGCTTTGTAACCCCCGCGATATTAAAGGTATTAAAAATCGGATAACGGGGAGTTAATTACTATGAGATATACAACAATTCCGATTAATACGATTTATGTCAATTAGTATTTTGGTAGACTTTTTTCATTTTGTCGTTTTTGGATCGGACCGGTTGGTACGAAGGTGATATTGTGTTACCTTAGAATAGAAGCTATGAGACACACGAGAGGCACAGCTCACAACACCGCTTGGATAAATTGCAGGTGTTAGTGTTTTTGAACGCTATGCCGCTTGCGGTAGTTACATGCCCACGTTTATGGGAGAAATTTGAGCTTGGCCCAATTGCCACTCGAGGGAATAGCAAGCATGGGTAGACGGAAGCTGGAGTGAACGTCAAAGAGGCGCATACGGAGGCGCCAGTGGATAGAAAGGGGGCGAAGACGGAAGCGGCAGCGGATTGCAGAGATGTAAATGCAGGTGTTTGATCGTGGGAACCATCCGCTCTAACTCTGCCCCGCTGTTCAGATTTCGCCAGCATGCGACGATGTAGATATGACGTCCCTCCACTGCAGAGAGCAGGTGGACTAACACAACGAAGGAACCACCGGCGGGAGTATTCTGGAACATCATTTGTTGGTTGGTGGTGCAGGATTTACCTCTCGCTCAAGAGAAATTGCATGCAGATCTCCATTGAGATCATAAGACCCACACGTGTAGAATAAAATATCCTGGAGACAGCAGACCGGCAGCTCATGAAATGAGTAGAAGATCTTTTGAGAACGAGGAAGCCGTACAACGTTCATTAGATCTGGAATGCAATTGTTTTGTATCGACTGTCTGAATTGTTTGTCAACGGAACCCATTGGCATCGGCAATGTGCACCTCGTCAAACGTCCTTGCCCGCTTCACTCGTTCCTTGGTCAACTCGTACGCCGCCGGTAAAAAGACGTCCTCCATCGACGTTCCCATCATCATATCGGCTGCGGCTTTAGCACTCAAGGACGTATTGGGCATGCCATGACCAGTAAAGCCAGCACAGATCCACAACCCCTCTCCACCCCCGAGTCCTAAATCCTCACGCACTTCTCCAACCCAAGGCTTCTCGTCACGGCTGTATCCCATGATCCCACTCCACTCATAACTTGCTTTCAACTCCTGCCCATCATTTTTCAAATCCAATACTTTACTGAGTTCTTGTCGAAGATATGTTGCGGCAGGAGGATCGATTTCAGAATCGTCTGATACGCCAAGGCCGGCACCTGAAGCATATGATCTTCCACCTCCGAACATAAACTCTCCTCCGCTGCCATGGCCAGAGAAAGGCCTTTGCACAAGGTAGTCATCTTGATTGATATTCTGGTCTCCATTTCCGAGGAAGCAGTATGTCTTGACGAGTGGTGGGTTATTTGTGCCTGGCGACATGTCTTTTGGTGGAAGAAGGCTGCTCATCTCACCTCTTACTGGAACAATGAGATCGCTGAATTCAGGGAGCAGATGCGATGTATATGCGTTGGTGGTTAGAAGTACTTGTTTGGCGGCGATCATACCACGAGATGTATGCACGATCCAGGGTCCATCGTCGGTCTTCTGCAGATGGGTAACTGGAGTATTGGTTTGTAAATTAAATGGCGATTTGGAGGCATTGTTCAATTGTAGCAAGTTCTCCAGAATCCAAGCAACGAGTTTGTAAGGCCAGAGACTGGCGGCGGGCGTCTGAACAATCGCGCCAACTGCAGACGGGGTGCGAAGATCTTTCAAAGATGGGGATACTGAGTCTTTGGTAATGATTTTGGCTTGCTTTACTACCCCTGGGTCCTTCTTGGAATTCTCCTCGTACATCTGTACAGCGAGATCGAACATTGGCTTTGATAGAAACGAGTGAACAACAGAGAGACTTCTCCAGTCGCAAGGAATGCTGTGTTTGGCGACGCGTGCCTCCAGAGTCTTGAAATTTTGCAACTCAAACTCTCGCACATCGGGAGGTAGAAAATATGCTCCTGGGGCACAGTGGCCTCCATTCTATATTTCATTCAGTTGGGGTTCTGCGGCGAGGAGAGGAGACGTACACGGCCTGTTGCTCCCCAGCATGCTTCTCTCGCCTCTAACATCACGATCCTGAGATCCTTTCCTCGATCATCTTCCCGAAGGAAGTGTGCAGCACTGGAACCAGATATCCCACTTCCAATAATCACGACGTCTGCTTCTGTGGGCAAGGATGCTGTGGTCCGATGCCCGAGAAGGATCGTGGAGGGGTCACTGTGCCAGAATGACTTGGTAGAATTGGTTGTAGGGAGGCTAGCTTGGCCAGAAAGTGCCGCACCACAAGTCATGTTGGTCTGTCTGATTTTCTCGGCCCCTGAATGGTGTATGTTTGAGTCCAGCATGGTGTGTAAGCTTGATGAGGGCGAGGTCGACGCCTTGTGCACCACTTTAGGGTTAGTGCACGTGATGCGGGGTAACCTATAAAGTTTCAGAAGTGGGATTGAGACTTGAAACATAGTCAGAGATTTTCGCAGGTGAGATTCTTACACCTTGTGTCGATCTCGGTTGTCCTCCTCATTTTTGATGATTGTCAGTTCATTACCTCAAAAACGTTCTGCTTGGTATGTCCGCACCTTAGCTCCTATTCCAGTATCCAGACATGTTCGCTCCTCCGCACTCGAGAGATCGTTGTATATGTACAACTCTGCGAAGTGCTTTGTACGTATGCACGCGATACAGTTGTGCAAATTCTCTGAGTAGCACTCTCCTGGGACTGTGTAACGTTCCGTTTGCCCAAGCTCTTACCTCTCTTTCTGACAAGCATCTTTCCTTTCGGGCCGTCCAAGGCACGGTCCGAGCGGGGACCAGTGACGTGACAAGGTTTAAAATCTCATCAGCATCTCATTGGGAAAGAGAACGCTTCCTTCCAAGAAGCTTGGGTTTCGGCCGATCACCTGTTTTGAAACGGTAAAATGCTTTGATCTGATCATGGATCCCGCTCCTGAAGCTGTCTAGGGGCTGAGCCTCTCTGCGTTTCAAGCTACCCGCCGCCACACAGGCTGTTCTCAACGTACCAAAAGGGGCTTCTTGGCATGGGATGCCGAACTTTAAGATTAAGAGGATTTCTCGAGCACGGGCATTTATCAGTTATCTGGTTGGGTCATATTCACCAAGCCCCCATTGAATGTTTCGCCGATCGTGCGTACAGAGATGATTTTGTTTGATCGATAATTCTACTTCTAGCATGATTGCTTTGGCCACTTCTCAATGTTATGGTCAAAATGGAGTTACTACAACGGATACAGCTTGCGATTCCGGATCCCTCCCGACGTTTTGTTGTCCAGCAGGATATTCCTGCTTGTCAAATGGACTATGTGGAAAAGCTGATTCCCTCCAAATGGGCTCTTGCTCAGACCAGGCTTGGTCTGGGGGAAGCTGTGTTAAATACTGCCGTATGCCAAAATTCAGACGAAGGGACGAGCGTAGACTGACTTTCGTGAAGCTGCTGGGTCTAACAACATCGCCGTGTGTAAACCACGGTCGAGAGGGAGCTACTGCTGTGGGAATGATCAAAGCTGTTGCTCTGGAAAAGATGGCTTCCGACTGGGAGCCCTCGTGCAAGCCAGCACAGTCCCATTTACAACCCTCACAGGGTCGACTTCATCGACTACAAATGCGGCGACAATAATATCTAGTACAAGACTTTCCTCTTTAATATCGGTGACGACAGCTACAGCAGTAATGATAAGTTCAACAGGTATGTCCAGGAATATGTCGCGTCATTAGGCCCCTGTAACTGATATCCCAGCAGGCTCTCTTACAGCGGTCCCAACATCATCCGCAGTGAAGATGCCATCGAGTGGGGGAATGAAGACAGGTGCTAAGATTGGGACAGTCATTGGAGTAATTGGCGGATCTGCAATCATCGGCTTCCTCTTTTACTTCTTAATCTTCCTTCTAAAACACCGAAAGCAAGAAAAGTATAACGCCCAGCGCGTGGCACAGATCCAAGCCAAAGTTGGGAGGACCTTTAGCTCTGACCACAGCGGCAACGGAAGCTTCGACAGACTAGAGTCGAGAAGTTTAACAGCTGGCTTCGACATCTCTCGGTCGGCGACACCGAACTTGAGGACAGAAAGCGAAAGGCGGCCCTTACCTCCTCTTCCTTCCCAGTACGATACGGGTACTCAGCAATCCTACGAACCCTATCAGCATCTTTCGCGGCCATTGACTCATGAGCTGCGAAACTTGGAGCCACTGACTATTGCTCAACATACGCAACTTCCGTCGCATTATTCATTTTCAGGCCCGCCCGTAACAAGTCCTGTGAGTCCTACGGATATGGTGGCCCCTCCTCGAAGGGCGACTCCCGTACAAGAATTCGCCGCCGCGCAACTTCCCTCACATTTTTCGTTCTCGGGGCCGGCTGTCACAAGCCCTGTCACAAGCCCAACGGAGGGCTCCAATGAGCCACCTCCAAGGTTGACTCCCGCTCAACAATACGCCGCCGCACAACTCCCTCCGCATTTTTCGTTTCAAGGGCCGCCTCCGCCTGTCACGAATCCCGTCAGTCCCATAGAGGACCCGACTCGGAGACCAGCTGGAATACAAGAGATGGCTGCTGCACAGCTGCCGTCGCATTATTCGTTTTCGGGTCCGCGTAGTGATTTTGTAAGGCCCGTTGATGTTCCTGCGAGGAAGATGACTCCTGCACAAGAACTTGCATCTGCGCGTTTGAGGTCGAATATGTCGCCAATGGGATTGGCGGGAATGGATGATTAAAAACACCTTGAGCATGTTGAAGAATGGAGGCTGAGATCCTAAGTGGACTAGGTCGGCTTGAGGCCCGAAAGGAGTTGTAATGTAATAACGTATCTAGATAATTACGCCATGTTTGAATACCCAAGAAAAATGAAGCTCTAGCTCCATCTATATGCTTTGTTCTTGTGAGACACGGCCTTGCCTCTGCTCTCCATATCATCTCGTCTTCTTGTCATCATCTTGTTGGCCGAGACGTTCCAAGAACTCTCCAATAATGCCTTTGTACACAACAGGTTCATACGGCTTGAACCATTCTGCCATCCACCCCTTCAGACCCCACCATCCAAACACTCTGTTCGCACTCCGCTCCCACGCCAGACGATTCCTGTCTGTCCTGACCCCCAGATCTCGCAGCAACATATCCATCCAATCTCTTACCTCCAGAAGCGCAAGAGGTATGTTCCGTCTCCCAGGATATCTCCTCTTCATGAAAGCACTGACTCGCGCGACTTCTCGATTCATAGCATCCTGGTCGCTAACAAGTCTTTCTAGAGGAAGAAGACCCTCTAAGTACGCGACACTCCAGAGCGCGTTGATCTCAGCAAGTGATGTTTGCTGTACGTTCCCGAGCTTGCCGAGGAATACAATATTGCGATCTGCAGTCAATGAGGGTGGAACGAGGCTCCTGAATAATCGGAACGGCGTGTACTCGACTTCTTGCTGGGTATATTTGTATGGAAGGTTGTCGAAAAGTGGATAGAGATCCAGGATCTTTCGGTCTTCAGATGCATCCAGTTCTTTCCAGTATTTTTCTTCGGCTTCCGGAAGGGAGTCCCAAAGAACAGGTAGGCCAAGCTCGGCTTGTAGCTCGGGACTGAATATTTGACCGGTTATGGGCTCCCAACCTGTGGCAAAGATAACGGCATCGGCGTTGACCTGTGACTGATTCGAGAGGTGGAGGATCTTCTCCTTCATGGAAACAATGCTAGCTCGAGCCACGTGAATCTTCTCGCCTTGATCAAGAGCGTCGAAGACACTTGCATCCCGGTTATGGACAAGGGAAATGCCTGCCTGACTCCAAAATAAACTGACAGATAGCTGTTAGATCTGGACAGCTCCAAGTGACCACGTGATACCTACTTCAATATCTTTGGCTTCAACAACCTTCCATTCTCGCTCTTCTCATACCGATCCCCAATTCGATTGTTGGTCGTGCTTTGCCAGAACCACTCGAACAGCTTCTTGCCCCACGCATTTCCCCCGCTCACGACAAATCGATCCCACCAGTTTCTCGAATTGCTGTATATAGTAGGGAAAAACATACTCGTGAAACGGGTATAGCCGATTTTGGATGTAGATACTCCGTTTGGAAGTTGTGTTCGCATCAGCATGGCTGGTCCAGCCCCCTCCTCCCGAATCAGCCAGTGGACATTCTTCCCAGCCTTGTGGGACAAGGAAACTGCTTCAAATGAGGACTTGTTCCCCCCCACAACAGCAATGGTTTCAATGTCCTCGACAAGAGCTCCTCTGAGCGTTCATTGACGTCTTTGGTGTGAAAAGTTTTCCCCTCAAATGCTGAAATGTCGATATTCGGCAACTTTGGAACAGTGAAGTGTCCAGTGGCGACCATAAGAACATCGCAAGTCAACGTCTGCCCTTTTGCTATTACGGCCTCGCCAGACCTTTTCGTATAAACCTTCCAACCCCTCCCTTCCTTTTCAACACTCGTGACCTGGGTATTGAAAACGCATCTACGCACGATATCAAACTTCTTCGCATACCTTTCGAGATACTCGTGCACAATAGGGCCCGGAATGCTGCTCCATTCGGGAATATCAAACTCTTCACTCATCTGTAGGTCGGAGAAGTCGAAAGTTGGGGTCGCACTGTCGGCCATGAGATTTGAATGCACTCGTGACCGGCTCCATACACCGCCAACGCTGTCATCGTCGTCGATGACTGTCAGTTGGATGTCTGGTACCATTTCAAGGTACGTTTTGGCCGCTGCAAGTCCATGGATCCCAGCTCCTATGATGATGACGCGGCGGCCGGTTGATGGCTTCGGATTATAAGCCATCTTCAAATGTCTCAACGGTCGGCGAGCTCAAGTTAGGAAGGTGGGCGGGAAGCCTTCCCTAAGTTGAGAGCTGATTCTCGTGATATTTCACAACGTGAACGCATCGATAAGCAAGTGTGACGGCCGACCCTTGACAAGCGAAGCCCAATTGCGGTTAGAGTTACGCAGAAGTCGTCAGGGTTGCTGACAGACAGCCTCAAATTTTGTTAATATCAATTGACATGGATCACTACTCTCCTTGAAAGTTTCTTGTGGAATAATATGATGATACACTGGGGCAGAAAGATATACGAGTGAATAAGATATGTCGGAGAGAAGAAAGAAGACGTGGCGAGAATCGGCTCAACGTTAACTCCGTTACCCCTGTCGCCCTGTGGGGGCAGGCATAAGCAGCAGACGTCGATTCAAATATGCATGCGCCATCAAAAAGCGACTCTGCTAATAGGCCATTACAAAAGAAAGAATACGTCTAATACAAGCTAATAGGCATGTACTCTCTTCTGAAATCGTGTACCTGGGTAATTGTTAAGAGTCACGTGAACCTCACCCTTCAGGTTAGCTTTGTTAAGCGAGAAATTTGATATTCTTAGATTGCGGTCGCTCATTCTTTTCTCATTCCATCAACACCTCATTCCCTGCCCTCCCCATTCACTTCTGTCTCACCCTACAATTGCTCATGCGCTTCACTCTTCATCTTCAAGTTATAAATAGGCCCTCCTGGAACCCACCACTCAAGTCTCAAGCAGCCTTCTTGGCCTGGCAACGGGCTTGGCAAAAATACCTGAGGCATCGATACCGGTATCGATACTGGATGGTATTAGTCAGGTATCGCAAGAATCGATAGTATTAATCGTTCGGTGGTTCTCACCTCCAACTCTTTTAGTACGCCTTGTAGGTGAGGGATAGCGATACGCAACGAACAGCGATACGCAAATCTGAGATTTTAGTGGGAATCTCTCCTTTTCTCCCTTTGAATTCTCACAACACAGCGTAATAAAATAGTGTCTAAGTATTGGGAATTGATCCCAAGGTGTAGGCCCTTTAGCTTAGTAAATTTTAAGTCTAAAAGATTAAGGCGTTATTGTGATGCAAATCTGCCCCATTTGCCCATACAAATTTTGGTGCGATTTGCGTATCGCTGTTCGTTGCGTATCGCTATCCCTCACCTACAAGGCGTGCTAGGCGAATTGTAGGTGGGAAACGCCGAACGATTAATACTATCGATTCTTACCCCAAAAATTAACTCTTTCTTTTATTATTTAAATTATATAATAATATATTATTATATAATTCCTTTAATTTCTAGTCTTTCTATTAAAAGAATTACTTATTATTATTAATAAAAGTTAATAATATCTCAAATTTAAAATAGCTCTTGTATTCAAAGAATTAAGCCCCGTATTCGTATTTCTTATTAAGACACTTATTATAAGCGAGCCTTACGAAAATTTCAAAAGCTCATTTTTCTTAAAATAGCCGCATTGAGATAAGTTTTAGTCTAAAATATAAGATAAGTAGCTAAATAGAAAGCCTAAATTAAGTAGAATATTTACGCTACCAAAGGTTTTCTTATAAGAGAAGTGGTTCTAAAGTTAATTGCAATTAAAGGGGGGAATTGGGTTCTGGGAATTAATACTTGTATTGATACTATCAATACCTGACGATTCTGGCATCGATACCTATCGATACCGGAAATTAAGGAATTTTTGCCAAGCCTGCCTGGCAATTTGCGGGCGCTCAAATGGGCAGAGTCGTTGATGGAAGCGTGCATGATTTGCCAATCAATGAAGAGGATGGCACCATAAATTCAACCTCGTGATTTTATCAGGTCGTACAGCAGCCTCCTTGTATCAGCAAGTGCTTTTTACAGATGCAATTCCCGGAATGTGGGGGGCTGGGGTTATGCGACACCAATCAAACAACGCCTCCAGAACTGCGGCTCATCTTTACGTCATCCAAGAGCAAATTTAGAATTGGTTGTTTAGTGATTGTTCTGTTTGTTCAGCTCAAGTTTCCTATTTTGAGTGTTTTAACATATTAATATCATGGATTTGGATACATATTGCAAGTTTCGCTCGCAACTCCAATTTTTGTGTTGCGCTACTCAACAAACAGGCTGCCTTCCCTTCTCTATTTACTTTCTTCTATGTTCTTTGAAACGAGTTGGCTGCTTTGTTTCCCCATTCCACCGCTCTAATCTTCGTATTTATGGCGCTTCGCTCGAAGAAATACTTCTCTGTTTTACCGAGCAGGAGGCTCGAGAACAAGAATCCGGCGAGAAACTCCGAAGATAGTCAGTTAAAGCATTGATCCTCTAGATTCTGTTAAAAGAATTTTCATTAATGACTTAACTTAGGTTGGAAACGATTAGACGGACCTTGTTGTAACCAAAACCAGGCGGAGTCATCGAATGGTCTCGGAAGATCTACCAAACTCCAGACGGGAAGAATTTCAACACCTACATCGAACCGCAGATGTGTATTCATGGCTATCTCTCAAGGAGCAATAGGCAGCTAGCGTCTTTGCTCGTCTTCCGAGTGCAATTTGCCTGCCTCCGCAAGCACGGTTCCTTCAAGCGCGTGCATCTCCGGGTTGACTTTGAAGATTCGTGGGGAATTGAGCCAACAGCAAGCCCTGTGATTATTTCTCATGCACCATTCGAACTGCAGCGTCAGAGCATCACTGAGATAGATGTCCAACAGACGGATGGGGTGCAGCATAGCATATTTGCAAACATCAACCTTGCCGGAGGCAAAGGTGGAGCAAGCAAGGCGGTCTCCCAATCAAAGGTTGAAAACTACAAGGATCTATATTTTGGCAAAGGTGTTTCTGCATCTGTTACAAATGAGAAGGGAACTCATTCCGGCGGTCTGGTTGAATGTCAAGCAAAGCTCGAATCCGCACGCGAAGGACGATGCAGGTATCGAGTCGAACCATCGATTCGCGGTTCTCTTTACCCAAAAAGATTACTTGGACTTTCAGGCGTGACTCCATCTCCTCGTAGATGTAGGCTGGAGACACAGAGTTGAAAACCGTTCCTCTGGACGAATGGCAGTCTCGGGAGAAAATCCGAATCTAACTTTTTCTTCCGCGATTCATCATTATAAAGGAAACTGTACCGGGATTGATCGAAAGAAGCTTGGAAGATTCAAAGACCGGACAGAACTGAAATATCTCACACTTTGAGTCATCGATGTAGCCCTTCCTGGAGGACTTCGCGGACGTTTGGCGTTTTGAGCCGATTAGTGATCATTTACTTTTGTCGCCACTGCTTTAGAAGGCACTATTTTCAAACCCTCCATCCCGCTTCATTGTTTTATCTATTATTTGAGTTACTCAAAAACAGCCCTGTTCGTACCTCCGTGTTGCATTATTTTAAGTTTTACTATTTTATAAGTTTAGACAAGTCTCATGAGACTTTTGTTGACAACGTGGACCCGCTTCGCATATTCTTACTCTTCGAACTAGATCTTTCTGGGTGCTAGCTTGCTACGATGCTTTTGAATACCCTAGACAGCTCTAGAGCAGGCAGTTGTTCTGCCTATCAAAATCCAATATGTGATATTTTGAGCCATGGAGAGTTGCACGCATGAAAGAGGTACTTCAAACTTCGACAAAAGTGGAAATATACTAAGTGGTTAAGTCCTTGGCGGGCTAAAAGAATGTCTGATCATCATCCTCCGCATAGTACTGGTGCAACATTTTGTAGCGCAGCCTGCTCAACACTCGACCTTCTCTTCAACCCCAGATAAGGTTCCGCCCGATTTTCGGCACATGATCAATAGGGCCTGGTTTTTCTACTGCCTCTTTAAAGCCCGTGCCATCCTCCTCTTGGCAAGATTGTACTCAATGGCCCGCTTCTTAGCAGCGGTTGATTGAGTGAAAGCGATAGCTCCGCCGAATGGACCTTAGAATTGTCAGTATAGCTGAAAGTGAGAGCATTGTTAGGTACATATACCGGCGGGAGTAGCATTTTGCAGCTTCGCAACACACACATTTGTTGCTGCACCAACAGTACCGGAGCAAGTCATGCCAGCAGGCATTTGCATCTTGACTGGGAAATCAGTGGTGGTTGTAGTTGAGATTCCCGCTACAAGACCTGGCACATTCTGTGTGACCTCGGCTTTCTTAAAAGCAGCTACATCAGTGCCACCAGATGTGGCGTCCACCATGGCTGTGAATGGACCAGCTCCGTCTTGGTTGATTTGATGAAGGGTCATGCTGATCTCTCCGGAGTCTGTGGTTGTAGGAAGGCCTGATGAGGCGCCAACGCCCGCGCAGGCTGCAACTCCTGTTTCGGAGGTTCCAGCTTGCATAAATCAGCTTGAGATATCCGCCAGGAAGACTGGAATCGGATATACGTACCTGGTGTCTTGACGCTTCCAGCAGCAGCCTTTCCCCCGCCGAAAAGTTGACGACGATATAGGCTGTTCATTTCGTGGATTTCACGGGCAGTGACGTTGCCCGAAGCTCCATCCATGAAGACAGCCATCATCTTTGTAGCTGTTACAGGTCCACCGGCTTTGGTTCGACCCATTGCGGAGGCTTTGGCAGTGCCCAATTCGTTCGCTCGGATGACGGCAGTATCGTCTTGCGCACCGCATCCCGCTGATGGGCAGTCCCGAGGGGTTCCATCGACGACTGTGAGACCGGGCATTGTCACGCCTTGGTGGGAGTTAGCTCGGATCTTGAGAGAGTGCTATAGGGAGACTTGCCATTTGCACCCTTGACCTCGGTGATGACACCGTGGGAGAAGACGGGAGTAACGGCAAGCACCGCGCAGAGAACGGCTGAAGTGTATTGCATCTTGAAGTCTGTGATGAAAGGAAAGAATAAAATTTGCAGAAAGAATGTGAGATTGTCAGGACGGCCGGCGCCAAAAGTTTCACGAAAAGAGGATGGATGAAATGAAATGATTACTTGAAAGATAACGATCACAGTTGAGAGGCAGTCAAGATACTTTATATCTCTGATCGACATCACGATCGTACATCAGTTGATGCGCCAGTAACTTGGCGATCTTTTCGGGAAATTTCTCGCCGAGGAAATACGAGGTTCAGAAACTCGAAGCATTCTTGGTGGAGGTCTAATTGTCTTGTTCTTTTGGACAAGATTTGACCTCAACATATCAAATTGCACTTGGCAACTATCGTCTCTTGGAAGTTTTGCTTGGAGAACTCTTGGGTGCGGAAGCCCCTGGACGGCTGCGCCACTGAACCCTAGATGCCATATAAGGACTTAGAAAGCTTTCAAGTCTTCGCCAATGGATATCTCTTTTATCTATGACGATGTGCGAGTTGAGCAAATTTCTCAACCAATTCTGCCGTCTCAAGTCTGAAAGCATCACCTCGGTTCATCTCAATCGGAAAAAGTTGATAGATAGTACATAATTCACAGCTTCATTTACCGACGTCCACACTCTCCAGATTTCTTTTTTCCGCTGGGATCATGCAATGCTTCCAACCCGGGATGCCGCAGATCTCAAAACGAGATCGCCTTCGCATTAGCTCCGGGAAGCCAATCGTAACTCCAGAACACCTGCACCGATCTTCAGAACATTGGATGTTTTCGTTCCTCTGTTGTTTTGTTCGTGCGCAGTTTCGCGTGTTCTGCTTGTGACGATGGTCGTTTGGCTAGTGACCCGGTCTTGCATCCGCGTAGTGCAGACGATGAGACGAATTGAAGACTTGGCGGAGGGATTCGAATACGAGAGCTTCCATACAAATCTGTGGATTGGGGTGCGATGTAATAGGGCTCCGAATGATTTTTGCTGGGCCATTTGCTCCCGTAATGAAGTAGACATCGGTACTCATTCGCAGGGGCGCAGAACATGATCTCCTCAGAAGCCCGGGTTTGGGGGGTTGCTTTTTATTTATTTAAAAACATTTGAATTCACTTGTTTCACATCTTAACATATACAAGTCGGAGGGCCATTTGTGGTTTTGTCTAAAGCACTTCCCCAGAGAGTGCGTGAGCCTCTATCTGAATGTCATGAACCCCAAATACTCCTATCATTAAATGCTATATACCCAGTCCGAGATGGTACTTTAGTTCTGTATCGAGTGAACCTGTCTGCCCGACATTGTATTTGACCCGCTGGTGTCTCAAATATTGCTCAGTTCCAGATCTGGTAACCGTTCCCTCAAAGTACTATTTCGCCCAGGAGTATACGGTACTCCAAATATGATTGCTATGGCTCCTGGAACTTGATCCTTCAATATTGTTGACTGTTGCTGGAAAATCAAACTTCCAATCAGCCCGAGGTTGACGCTATTCGGAATAAATGGTAGCAAGTCTGCGGATGCATATGCAGCAGAGAGGAGAAGAAGTAGAGAGAGATTGCGCAGCAGCCGAGATGAGAAAGTAGGCCCTTGGTTGTGATCAATTAGTTTCCAAGATCAAAAAGGAGGAAATTAGAGGTTTAAATTACTTTGCCCTTGATTTTGATCGTCGAGAGTTAAAGAGAACAAGCGCGGCTGTCGTCACAGACTATAGCAACGAGAAGTTTCCAAGCGCGAATTCAATCTACGGCTGTTCAATTAATTATGTTTCATACACAACTGAAGCAATCTCCCAACCTCCCCTGTATTTCTCCGCTAAGGTTCCAGTCACAATAGTCGAGAGACCTGAGTACAGCATTGTCACCCAGCAAAACAGTCGAAAATACGAGTCGGGGGGGTCAGTTTGGTGGGGAGCGACGCTTAGTCAGCTCTGAACCAACCCTATGGGGTTAGTGTATTGGTTGCCATGTTGGAGCGGGCTGGACCAGCCGCTCAACCAACTTCATATTGCTTCCCAACTCCAACGATCTCATCCTTTGCATGCTTGAAACGTAGTTACTTGAACTGAGCCACTGCCATGGTCTGTTTCCTGTATTGAAAAATATCTCTATTAGGCCATATTGATGCTAACCGCCCAATACAAATCAGACATCTGTAACCGTCGCTGTCATGGCTGCACCGAACGCGAACTGGTTGCAGATTATCAGCGACCCCGAAAATGCGAATCTAGAGTTGTTGCCTATCATCAGGGTGCTGGTTCAATACTGATCTCTGTTAGCATTGTTACAGTTCATGGCATGAATGTGTTCGGTTCCGATGGCCACTCCGAGAACACCTGGACAGAGGAAGAGTCGAGGACACACTGGCTGAAAGATCTCCTGCCCGAAATCCTCCCGAGAGCTAGAATACTAGCATACAAGTATAACGCGAATGTTGTATTTAGGTCATCAGCTGCCGGTATAGAGGAGCAGGCCCGCAACCTACTGCATTGCCTCCATTCAGAGAGGAGAGTCAGTCAAGGTAATCGCTATTTTGTCGCGAAATCAAAACTAATTTGAAGAATAGGGATCACAGGCGGTCCGACCTCTTATCTTCATTACGCATAGCATGGGCGGAATTCTCGTGAAAGAAGCCTTGGCAACTGCTTTCCACGATAGCCAATGCTACTCGATGCTTTGGGTCTTCACGTATGGCATCGTTTTTTTTGCTGTTCCTCATAAGGGCTCCAGGCACGCTGCGTGGGGGAGGACAGCTGCGCAAATAGTGCAGCTATGCACTGGACAGCCTAACGAGAGCTTCCTTGGGAGCGTTGAACAAGGCTCTAACTATAATATCCAACTTAATAAGAGATTCGAACCTTTGCTCAACGCATTCAAGTTCCTCAGCATCTGTGAGACGGTGCCGGAACGCGTTGGCATTGAGGTTGGACTTGTAAGTCTGGTGCTTTAAGGTCAATATAGTTCTAATGCAGCAGGCAAGATCGTCCAACTGGACTCCGCTAGTCTGGACCTGGATGACTCGCAAGAAGTCAAGTTATATCCCAACCGTACTCACAGAACAATATGCAAATTTGCTAGCAGCTCAGAACCTGAATGGCAACAGATTTCCGGGATTCTGGTTCATGCAGCTGCTTGCGCCGTTAATTATACCGCTTACAGTCCAACCATAAACGTGCGCCAAATGACAGTGATGCATTCGGACGGTATAGGTATGTTTAATAGTGTTATTTCTACAACACTCTACCTAACTAGATCACCAGACACACCTGCAGGTCTATACTCTGTCTATGAGGCACAGCTCACCATTGATACTGTGAAAAGGCTCTTTGACCAGCTACATAAGGAAGAGGATCTAATAAGGAATGAAGTTCGAGAAGTTGTTTCATGGTTTTGGCCCATTCTTGTCATGCTTGGATTTTTCACTGGGGGTCTTATCTTTGTTTTTCTTCCGACTTTCTTCCTCCCGCGCGCAAGCACTATCATGGACAATGCAGAACATGCCCGGCAGTCTCAGGAACGACTTATTGAGTTCCAAAGACAAGGTATTGTGAGACTTGATTCTCAGAGGGCTAGTGTGCTAGCAGCTATTGTCGGCCTTCGGCCACTTCTTGTGCATGGAGAGTTGCCGCCAAATGTACTTGCACCTAGGATGGAAGAGGAACTTTCCCAGCAAGCTTTACGAATTCTCAGGGATTTGGAGAGGCGGTACCGCATGATATCTGAGGAAACAAGAAGGCTAAGAAGGATTGAAGATGGCCAGAGAGAGGCGCAAGGTATGGACAATCGGCAGCTCTTGGAGATGATCGGCAGTCGTGCACAAGAGGAGCGAGATATACTGGAAGCGAGGCAGGCAGCTGCGCCGAGTGAGGATACCGAGGACGAAACTTGTTGTGTTATACTCTGATTTATGGGGATAGAAGTGTTACAACCTACCATAGTAGCCTGAGGCTCGGGTGTCTGGCGGACATCACAGAGAACTCTATGGCATGTGATGAGGTCACATGAAGGTCACGTGACGGATGGCTGGATCTGAGGAACGATCCATGATCCAGGATCGATGGATCTGCTAGATGATTAATAGATTACTAGTGTATAAAGGTTCTATATAATCTCCTTATAATTCCTATATCTTAGATAGAAGTCTCGTATTTAACTTAATATAGTATTTATTTATATTTAATAATATATTATAACTATAATATTATTATAATACTCAGATATTACAGAAATACCCCTGTTTACCTAATTATATTTATAAAGCCAGAGTTAGACCCGCTTTATTACTATCCCCCCCCCTTAAACAATTACGAGTGGGTCCTTTGGTAATGCTATACTAAAACTTCGTCAATATCCTCGAATTAGGAAATATCAGGTGCTTTCGAGAGCTGCTATTCGTTATAGACCCTTGATTGCGTGCCTTTAGTAGTGTGAATTGTGGCATGAGAGTGTAGCGAATATTGGACCCACTCGTAATTATTTAAGGGGGGGGATAGTATAAAAAGGCTAATAATTTCGGGAGTTATATATATAACTATTATATATCTTATATATAATTATAATAGGTATATATAATAGTATATAGACAAGTATTAGATATTATAGATCTAGCTTCCTATTTTAGATAAAGCTTGTAATTGGAATTATACGGGTAATCGGAATCATATAAATCATATAGAATTATATTTTCTAGTTAAGTAAAGGACTTTATATATTTGGCTAAATACTAGGGAATATATAAAGAGATACTTCTAGTTTTAGACAAAGGCATTAATTAGTCTTTTATTAGAATTAATTCTTGGAATTAGTTATACTTATAAGTATTACTTTATAGCTTACTTACCTTAATTACTTATATATTACCCTGCTATTATATACCTTATATTCTAATTAATCTAACCTTTAGGAAGTAGTTTATTACAAGATAGTATATTAAAGGATTATTCAAGTTATTCAAGTTATTTATAAATATTTATAAATAACTTAAATAAAATATAAGTAACGAGTAGCTTAAAAAAACTTGAGTAAAATAGAATAATTATTCATAAATAATTACGTGGAAGTCACGTGGAAGTCACGGGATCATTAGAAATCAATATATATTTAAATTTTTTAAAAAAGAACTAAAGCACCTATTAAGCAGGCTTATATAAGCTAAGCTAGAACTTATATAAGGCTACTTAAATATCAATTTTCTATAATAATAAACTGATTATTCTCCTTAAAATCTTGTTTTTTCTCTCCCTTTTTCTCTTTTTCCTTAGCCTCTTCTAATTTATCTTTAAATATCCCCCAGCTTTTTAAGCAAGCTATTATCTCAAAAGTACTCTTATTAAGTCTATTATGTAATTTAGATATAATAAGGGCACCTTGAGAGAAAAACCTCTCACTAGCTGCCAAGGAAGCCGGAATTCCTAAATATTTCCTAGCTATTAAAGCTAAAACGGGGAATCTAGCGGCATTAGACTTCTAATAGTCTAAGGGCTTAGTCTATATATATATTAGTACTAATATATTAAAAAATATTAAGAAAATATCGGATAATTATTTAATAGAATTTAAATAAATCTTACTTACTTTTTTATCTTCTCTTTTTTCTTCTAAATAAGTTATTAACTCGTCCTCTATTTTAGAGATCGAATTAGTAATATATATATCCGAGTTATCGGAATCGGAATCGGAATCGGAATCGGCTATACTAATATCCGAGCTATTAGATATAGCTTGAGATATATTATAATCGTATTTATATCTAAATTTAAATATTAGTTATTAATTTATTAATTTATTAAAAACTAATAAAAGGAATTACTTATACATTATAATTAGTATTTAATCTATTATGTATATCCGAAGATATACCGCTAGATAAGCCAATACTAGTTAATCCTTCTTGTTTAATTCGAGGATTAAGAATAAGAGCCATATATAAAGCTTTATTTTTATTATCTAAAACGCCTGTTTTAGGATAATATTTTCGAAGCTTAGCTATACCCTTATCTATAGCATCTGTAAATGCTTTATCCTATTAAAAATTAGTATAATATTATTAATAATATAAGAAGAATTTAAGAAAAGACTTACTTTAAATTCCTTTTTAAAATTTTCAAGTTTATTATATATTTTATATACCTCAGGTATAATATAATATATAGTCGGATAATTTTCGGCTTGTAACTTAGTCGTAGCTTTAACAAATATTGAAATTATATTTAAAATATTATTTAAATAAGTAATTTTAATATTAGTTAAAACTAGACTTTTATTTTTAAAAGCCTTCGAATTAGAGCTATTAATAACTACTTCAATAGCTTTATATATATATAAAAAGTTCTTTAATATATAGTAAGTCGAAGACCACCGTATTTTTTGATCTATAAATAATTAGTATTAATTAATAATAATAAAATTAAAAAATTAAAAAATTAATTACTTACCAAGTTAAGGGAATCGAGTATTTTCTATATTAAAAGCTTTAATTTGAGCTTCTAATAACCGTCGGTTTTCTTAGTTATATTTAAGACCTATAATAGTCTTTCTAACCCTTCTCCAAATCGATAAATCTAAAATTTATTAATAAACCTCTTATAAATTATATAGGAAACTTACTTATTACTTGTTCTCCTTCTTCTTCTTCTCTATCTTCAAGTTCTTTTATTTCTTGCTCGTATAAATCTGTAGAATAAGAAATATTATAATTATTCTTAATAAGAGCTTTTAAAATATCTTGAACTACTAGATTTAATATATAAGCTATATAAGGGATATCTCCTTGAAATTTAATGCCTTCTTTATTATAATGCTTTATAAAAGCCTTTAATAAGGTATCGTTTGAACTAGTATTATCTCGAGTAATACTAAATAATATATATTAGTAATTATTTAATAATTATTTTAAATTACTTACCTAGTAATATTATATTCGATATTATATTGTTTTAAGGCTTCTAATAAAACAGAAAGCATATAAATACTAGAGTAAATATTACTTAAATCTTTTATAGCTAATAAATAAGATTTTAATTTAAAATCCTTATTTATAAAGTATCTAATAATATATTAGTATAAATTTTACTTAATAATTATAAGAATATATAAACTTATATAGTAATTCCAAGGAATGCCTTTTGATTTATACTTGTCCAAGCATCTAAAGTAATAGAGAAGGTTCTTTAAGAATTAATATTCTCTTTTAATTCTTCTTTAATATTTAAACTCTTTTCGATATAGTATAAATTAAGCTTATCTATAAGAACCTTCGAGTATATAGGAGGTACTTGACTATTAAATATTAGTATATATATATAAGGGATAATATAATAGAAGCTTATTAATTTAAATAAGATATTAGCTTTTTAAAGCTCGGAATAGTAATAGCCCGAAAAGAGATATTATTATTATTAATAAAGTTTAATAATAATTTCTTAAAGTAATTAGTAGTAAAGCTTTCTTCTCGCTGTCCGGATTGCTTATTAAAAAGGCTAGTTATAGTTATTTATGAGACTTGACTAGAAGCTTCGCTTTTACCTATTAAATATATTAGTAAATATTTCTTTTTTATTAATAATAGAATAATTTATTATTATTATTATTATTTTTAAGACTTTGAAGGTCTATAAACCTATATACATATCGAAAATGAGAGTAATAATTACTTATAGGAGTATATATTCGTTAATTAAGCCATGTTTTACTATAAATTAATTAGTAAAAAATTAATTAAAAATTAATATATTAACTTACAAATACCCTTTAACCATATACTTAATAGTATACATACGAAGATCCTTACTATTCTCTTGTATAGGATTTAGTATCTTTTTTAAATAGCCTTTCTTAAAAAGAGAAGCTTGCTTATCGAGTGGTTTTAATTCGAAATCGGGGTGATTTTGACTTATATTAAGCTTAATTAAGGAGTCTTGAGACATTTTCGAGTATATTAAGTATATATAAGAATATATGTAATATAAAGTAATATAATAAGAGTAATAGTTGATTTTTTGTAAGTAGTTAAAGTATGAGAAAGAAGTAAAATCGAGGAAAACGATATATTCTTATAGAAAGTTCTAATATTCTAAAGTCTGCTTTATAATTCTTCTAATTACAAAGATTTGCCTTAGCCCGAAGATTCTAGTCCTTCGATTTCTAATTTTTATCTCTTATATTAGTAATTTAATATAATCGTAATTTACGGTGGTTCTGGAAATATCGCTGAGGTTCGATTCGCTTACCAAGCGCCACTACCGCCTGATTGGCTAGCGAGGTGGCGCTAGGTGATGCTAGGTGCGGGCCCCCCCGAAGCCTTACCTGATTAAGCTAGCCCTATTACGTATACAGATCACGTGCGTTATTCAAGTTATTTATGAATATTTATGAATAACTTGAATAATATATGAATAAAATAAGAGTAACGGGTTTTTAGCTTGAATAAAATAAGAGTAACGGCCGTTATTCTATTTTACTCTATTCATTTGATATACTGTTACAAGATAATCAAGCTATTAATAGATAAAATTATTAATAGCTGGAGTATTAACTAGAAGAAGCGCCTCTACTACTACTAGAATAACCCAGCCGGATATCCAGGGGAGTACCTAATTAGGTACTCTTTATACTACCTAATTAGGAGAAGGAAATAGAACTTAGATATCTCTAGAACTGGCTAGTAGGATAATAATAGAGAAATTAGTAGCGGCTCGCTATTATATTATTGAGTTAGAAGTAGAGATATAATAGAGAGAGGATCTAGAGAAGTTAGAAACTCAGATCTGTTATCTTAAAGATATTCGGATATCCGGTAGGAAGCCTGTTATACTTCCGGTAGTTGAACACAACTTTTTTTTTCTTCACCCCCAGGCCGGTTAGTAGGCTCACCGCCTCTACAGTACTCAGGGGCTAATCGCCCTCGAGCCTGAGCAGTACCCCCTACTCACTCACGTGTTTGATCTCCAACCAGGTTGGACACAAAATAGGGTGTTTTCATTTCATTCCTATCAAGTTTTGGCGATGATCCCTGGGGAGCCCAAACAGGCTCCCAAGTATGCCGAACTGGACCCTCATGAAAATAGATCCACGTTATGTCATGGGTAATCGCCGGGGGCAGAGCATGAAGGTCTCATTCAAGGAGAGAGTTGCTGCTGGGTTCGTTACTTTGTAATTTGTTTTGTCGTTGCTTGGCACGAGCGTTATTGGCTTGGCAGATCAATATATCTTAGCCTTAGCCGCCACAAACACTTCCCTATCTCCTTTTTGGATATGACAATTTGCCCAAACGGCATCTACTTGATTGGTGGATATATTTTGTGGAAGAATGGCCTAGTGTCCATTTCCTGACATTCTTTCCACAAGTTGCGCGGGACTCAACTTCCATCTCAAAACCTTCGATTCCGAGCCATGCTACTACCAATTCTCATCACAGTCCTTCTCGCAACCTCCTTGACAACGGGAACACCTGATCCCGCGAAATTCCCGACAGTGAAAGAATGGTCGGAAGCGTTGAATATCTCCCCCGCCTGTGCTTCCTGCCGGGTGCCCCCTCTCGGCCCATTGGATGGAGGCAGTGACAACATATATGGGAGAAACTGTAGTGGCTACACAATGAAGCAGTGGTGCGACCCGGGTTGGAATGTTGAGGACTTCAAAAATTGCGTGGGGACAGGACTGAACCTCAATCAGAATTGCTTTTGGAGTCACTGCTCAGAACCCGACCAGTTCCGGCTGATACAGTTGACGACTTGTCGGGACCAGTGGGATCCGCTATATAATGCATATGCGCATATGTTGAAGTATTGCATTGGGGTTTTGGGGAATGCGACTACGGTTTTGGGTGAGAATCTAGATATCTTTCTGAAGTGGCTCTTTTTTGGGGTTTTTTTGCGAACTTTCTGAACTTCCACTAATCGGTGAATGATATCTAGCCCCAATCATCAAATACGATGCCGCAATGGATTGGAATAGGACTGAGACGGAAATTCTCGCAGACGTTGATACGGGAATCCTTTGCCAATACGGTGAGATACCCAGGCAAAATGGGAGCCTCTCCGCCAACATCTATCCGCTTCTTGCCACATCCGCGCTCACCACAACTCCTACTACCACGGGGTCGGGGACAACGAACACTGGGTTGCCAAAATCAGATGCTTCGAGACTACATACTAGAGAGATTCTTACATCTTTTTCCTTATGCATTTTTGCTATCAGTTGCACTCTTTAATGTTTGTATTCCACAACAAGGCGCTGAACACCAGCAGAATTATCGTTGCGGATAGAGAGATAGGATGGGCTTTAGGATCTGTTATTTTGCTAATTGGTGTTGGAGTGTTTGTACCTGTCTTTACTGATGGTTTATTGGTTGTTTTGTACCTGTTCTTACCAACTACTTACTGTTATTATTTTATATGAGGATTGGACTCAGGTCGATATTTGGATTTAGGTGTTAACAAATTCAGTTTGCTTCTCTTGTCTAGCATACTCCTCTATCAACGGTCTTGATTCTCGAAATATACTAGTGAAGGTACCATGCTCTGTCCATACCTCCCCTGTAGTTTTGAAGTCGAATCTGCTACACTTTGTATAATGGAACTCCATCGGGGGATACTATAGCAAAAGAATTCCGACTATAGTTGTCTGCCATATTGCAGCCCTGCCGCAGTAGCATATATCTAATACGATTCCGTCAATGCTCTAGTGCCACTAATATTGTATTAGGCCCTAATAAGGAGCAGTTAGATTGTATTAAGGTAATAGTCGCAGTCTTACTTTATTTGTTTTTTTGACCAAGCAATTTTTTTCGTTTCTCGTCTAATGTTGCCTTTTGTCTCGTTATTTCACTGCCAGACTCTCAAGTCCAAATAGCAAAGCCAACATAACTAGAGCCAAAGGTAACTTTATGAAAATAGCATGACTTGTTTTGCAGGCTTTCTTTCAAGCCCTCGACTGTCCACCTTATTCCCTCTTCTTCTTCGTAAGAATGTGCGGTCTCTTCCGGGAATATAATCTTTTTAAAGGATCTTGTCGCATTGCAGGAAATTGACATTAACGAACTAACGCGTCGCCATAATACCCACGCCCGATAGCCGGTATTGCATTTCGAGGAAAGCACAAAAGATTGAAGTTAGTTTTGGGTTGGAGATTGAGATGATATTGTATCGCGACTTGGTCTATGGTTTCTTGTGGCGGAAAGGGAGGAGCCGATATTGGGTGACGTGCATGCAGTGTGTCAAATGATTTAGCTTGATTTGATTATCGCCTCTGAATCAAATCAAATCAAGTCAAAATCTACTTAATCAAATCATAATCAACTATAATCAACTATAATCAACTATAATTGATTATAGTTGATTATTTAGTCACGTGACCGTGTACGTACGCTCGGAGATTAGAAAAGCGAAATAAGGCTAAAATAAGGCTTAGGCTAGCCCGTATCCGGTATCGCTTAAGGTGCTCCTTACTAAATCGGGTATCGTGCCGCTTGGCAAGCGAAGCGGCACTAGCCGAAAGCGCTAAAACCTCCTCGATTTTCTCGTAATTTCTCGCTACCTCATAAATCTTATTATTATAAATAAAATAGTTAAAAATAGGCCCTCTCACAAATGGGCGCTTTAATATTAGGGGGTTATATCTAATTAGACGCTTATTAAAGAATCTTCTAGATTCTAGAGGTTTTATATGTAAATAAGTAATTTTCCTCAAGTTATTTCCTTTCCTCTTATTTTATATATAAATACCCCAATAACTATAGCTCCAATTAAGAAGCTTTTGACTATAAACTTACTTATTTTTACTCGATATATTCGAAAATGTCTCAATAATCTTTAATTAATCTTAATATCCCTCAAAGTAGGAAGGAATAAAAAAAGCAGAAAATAAGAATAAAAAAGATAAAGAAGAGGTTTCCAAGGAGGATAACCAGTTTTTTATACCAGATTTAGACTAGCTTTATACTCTTATATGTATTTTATAAGCTTTGTTTATATCTTATTAATATAGCTGTTAGTTATTTAATAATTATTTAAGTTACTTGAGAAATTCAAGTTTTCTTAGTATCACGTGATAATTATAGTTGATTATAATTAATTATAATCATAATCAAATCAAATCAAGTCAAAATCTACTTAATCAAATCATAATCAACTATAATTAACTAGCCTTGATTTTTTTTTTGACACACTGCGTGCATGCTGGGGTAATGTTCGCTGTAATATTTAATAATAAATTAGTTTTACTAATTATTACTATAGGGGTGCGGATAGGAGACTGTTCAACGGCGAGTTGGCGTGTACTTTAAAACTGAAAAAAGCAGTCCAAAGTTCTTTGGAATTGAAAGAGCGACATTAACTAAACCGGCAAATCATCAACAACCCAAATCAAATCAAACTTGTCTATCCCAACCCAAAAACCCATAACAATATAAACTCAATCCAACCCCAAACCACAACTACCAATCTCTTCAAACAACCTACTTCCCACCACTCCCCATCACCCCCCTGAAAATTTCATGTCCATCCGTCAACTTCTTGATCCTCTCCTCCAAGAACTCTCTCTGTCTCTTCGCACTCAGTGGCTCAGAGGCAATAGCCTCGACTTCGACATCCGACATCGCGTTCACGACGACGGGAGAGAAGATATTCTGGAGGCCGCGGACGATATGGCGTTCGATGACTTGAGTGGTGATGTTGGCGATGAAGGTCTTTTGTGAAACCTGCATGACATGTGTTAGCAAGGGAGAGAGAGAAGATGGATGAGGGTACACTGAAGAGTAAAGGGGAGGGGGAGGGGAAGGACGGGGATCATGGACGAACCTTGTAAATTGCAAACAAACAGTCAAGAGCTTCTTCACAGCTGAAGTTCTCCATGTTGGAATCATTGTCCTCGGCCAATGTCTGAACAAATTGGTCGATATCAACAGTCGTCGTTACTACTGGGCTCTCAAAAACCACTTCCTCTGGGTGCCTTGTCGTCTTGCTTGCTTTCTCGGCTGTCTCCTTGATGGCAATGCGTTGGCGATTTTGTCGACGGCTCTTGATGGTGTCGGTGTAGTAGTGATTGTAGTTGATAGGATAGCCTTTGATATCCTCCATGATCTTCGCAAGTTCCTCGCTCGCCAGACGACTGCGTTCCTTAAGCGCATCATGGATCTTGCTATCCCACAAACGAGACTCGACATCCTTCGGGCATTTGTCGTGAAGGAGAGTTTTAAGAAATTTGCTGCATTGATCGGCGACGCATTCAATGTGGTCGACAGCAATAAGTTGCCACTTGGAAGACTGTTCCCAAAAGAGCTCGCCGACAAGGAGAGGGTTGTAGTTTCCAACCAGTTCGCGGCCACGGGTACGAGCGAGAACGTTTGCAACCCATTTTAGAGCCATCTCCTTTGTCCATCGGATAGGTGTAATCTGCGTCTTTCCAAGGCGATCACTGAGTCCATCTGCACAGTTCGGGTCGAAACCAGACCAGCCGTCGTTATCGAGATCGATGTGGTACTTGTGTGCGACCCGTCGGAACGTTTCGGAGAATTCGGTGTTGAGGTTCTGAACAACGGCTCGAATGCGAGAAATAGAGACTGGCGATTCATCTTCGTCTTTGAACTCCTCATCAGTGATTTCCCCGTGAAAGTAATCTCCTTCGTAATGCCCATCAACAGCAGCTTTTGAGACGTCGTAGATGTCCTGACTCAGCTGTGAAAGGTATGCCTTGCACTCCGCTGGTGATGAACGGCAGCTTCCCATGACATCAAGTTGAGTATTAGCTTCCGTAAGAGCGTTCTCAAGATCTTGGCGAAGCTTTGGGAGTTCTTGCTTAACATGTTCGAATAACAAGCGGCTCAAACGTTTTCTCAACTCATCAATGCCGACTGACTCCTTGGGCAAGACGTTGAAGTTAGACGTGCGAAAGAAAGTGCTCTCAGCAAAATTTCGATCTCTCAAACTGCAGTCTTGTTCTTCGAATTTCCGATTCTTGAGGACATGCCATCCAAGCTTGAAGAAGACATCTTCGTTTCTTGCCAATGAGATGAAGGCATTCTCGCTTCCGGATCCAGGTGGGAGGCGATCTGGCTTGGTGATGATACCCAAAGTGCGGTCACCTTCAGGGTCATATTTTCTCACCCTTGTGAGAATTGGCTGGTTAGCATGATCATTGGTGGCAGATATCACAGCCAGACAAATTGTTCGCGGCTGTGAGATGTAATGATCGGTAATCTCAGCCACCATCTTCACATCAGCTTCAGTGACACCCTTGGTTGCATTGGCGATGAGTCCAGGAATATCGACAAGCGTCAATTGTGGTCTGTTTGGCCCCTCAATAGTGATGCTCAAGACGTCGCGAGCGAATGCGCCAAGAGGAGTGTCACTTTGAGACTCTGGATCCATTCCCATGATTTTCATTGCCAGACCCATGATTCTTGGAAGGTCCTCGAAATCAGTGATTGACTCCTCGAAAGCTTTGATTTTAATCTGTTCATGAACGGGTCGCTGATCATCGGGAATAACTTTGATCGTGAGCGAGTCGGAGGGAGCCCGGCGAAGGATGATTTCCGTTGCAAATCTGGTGCACAGGTTGTCGCTTCGAGGGAAAGGGATCTCCGTCAAAGCCTCAAGCACGGAGCTCTTGCCCGCTGATTGATCGCCACAGACTACAAGTTGAGGAAGCGATAGAATGCTTTCAAGCCCGCATTTTCGGACTTGTGCAACGGTGTCAAGAATTCGACGTTGTTCATCCGTTTGGAGGTCCTCGAGGGAGGAGGTGGTGCTGAGATCAACGGCACCTCGACGGCCTTGTTTCGTGCCTTTGATCTTTTGATCACCCTCGACTGGAGTTACGACTCCGTTTGCCGTAGTGGCTTGCCCAACAGGTGTAGACTCGGATGGCATGGCCGTGGATTTGTGGGTTGCTGTGGCTGGAAGAGGCAATTTGTTCTGAGCTCAGTAGCGACTTGATTGATTTCTGTTGATGAGTCTGGGAAAGAGGAAGGAAGTCGATTAAATATTGAAAGTAGGGAGGCGACGGCCATGGGAACCTTTTGGGGAAGATTGGCCATGGTAAAGGTCACTGCGGCTAGTGGCAGGGAAAGGCTGATTCATGCAGAACTGGAGGCAGCCACCAACAGACCTTGCAAGCAGGCAGCCAACGGGTAGCAAGATATACTCAGAATTGCTCGCCGGCTGATCGGTTGCAATTGGCTGGCCCTTTGTGGGGTCGCCGTCTCAGCTCGAGAACCAACAACAGAAGCTGCGAGAAGGGACCTTTCGAGGTTTTCTGACGGAAAAGTTCCAAGCGAAAATTTGGAAGCGCGCTCGAAACCATCCGCCCCTTGCCTAGTTGAGGACTGTCAATCGATATATCTCAGATTCGATTATCGGACAAACATTACAGAGATGGAAACAGATTCTACAACGATGGTGCATGAACGCAACGAATTGGGACCCCATCTCATGTTTGTGGAAGCCACTTTCCGCCACCCTGAGCCAAAACGTCCAGCCCGCTGAGGTGGTTCAAAACAGCGAGATCTCTTTGTGAACAGGATCAGGTTTCTGACACATGACTCGCGATGTCAAGAAACAGAATAGGAAATGCAGAAAGGGAGCCTTAGAGTCCTTGATGGAAAACCTCGTCCTCGTTCCCTGACGATGAAAGCAGGGGGAGGGTTGTCAAACGAGAAGCTGCAAGGGCTTCGAAGCCCCCACGCTAGTTTTAGTGTAACCTTACCAGTTAGGCTCCACCGCCTGCATCACTTCTTGCTTTCATCTTGCACTTCACTTCACTTCTTTTCACATGTTTATCCCATCAAAAAAACCAAACCGAATGCCATCTCAGCTCATGTCGCAAGCCGACGATTCACTCGGCCGGCATGACCATGGCCGAGGCCACAGGCATCAAGGCGTTTTTTACATGGCTTGTGAGCCCAGCCACAAAACCAACACTCGCGCCACCCCGCCGGTGACGATCTCCGTGGCAAGTTATTCCAGTGCATTCCCTGGGCTACGAAAAGATTCGAGTTTCAATTGGATTAATTTCATTCTCAAGTTTTGATGCCTGAGTTATTGTTCCCTTCCGGACTTGCCAATATTCTAGCATCATGGATGTTCATTATGGTGGAAGAGCAGCGAAGCTCGCTGCAGTTTCACGTCTCATCTTCAAAATGATCTGGCACAGTTGTTTCTCTTCGATTCAATCAATACCCTTTGCTAAACTGTCCGGTACTTTGCTTTGTCTCAAACTGTTACCTCTGCGGTACTATCTGCACTTCTGCTTCTATTTAAATTTTCAGCGCACGACTTTGGTCTTTTCCAAACCAACCTCAACTCTACTCAGATAAGCGGCCAAGAATGGTTTCAATTCCATCTTCTCCACAGGCTCTACGACGCACACAGTGGAAGACACAAGAACTCAGATCAAGTATCAGCAGCTCACCCAAACTGGTTTCGAGACTGACTGGCATGTTGCTCCGTGGGGCTCTACTTCGTGGCTGACGGTCGAGAATGACAACGCGCATCCGCCTACTGCTGAAGAATTCTTCCAAAAGGACGACAGGGCTCCAAATACTCTTTATTTATCAGTAAACTACGAACGATGCATCGCGAACCCTGCAGGGCTGGCACTGTGGAAACCTCAAGCAGCAAATGTCGAGACAGTCCTCCTTCGCAGAGGCGACACGATAATTATACCACCGGGAGCTGTCCACAAGTTCGTGAATGTCACGGATATTTTCTGTACCGGTGGCTTATTCATGGAGAGGGAGATATTGTATATTTGTATTGGGCTGGCGAGAGAGCAAAGGCTTTATCCCTACCCGAAGCTGCTCAACTACCAGAATGAGCTACGATTGACCGTAGAAAAGTGGCTGAGTAGAATTACATTCTCTTTCGCGCCTCGTCACGTTCTTCTCAATCAGCTTAGATTTGATGAGAAGCCTCCATTTTGAAATTCACTTTCTGCCAAAGCCTCACGCCCTTCGATCTTTCTCCATATCATCCATCTTTCCTTTCTTCGGCCACTATTCCCAACTAACCAAAACATCACCCCATCCTCCTCCACGATGGCTACCCGCATCGTCCTGCTTCGAAGCCCACCGTGGCGCACCACATGCCCACACTTGACCTACCAGGAAGTGTTCCAACATCTCGTCTCAACAGGCAAGGCAAGGCATATTCAGGGTGAGATGTCGACGACCAGGGCACCTGATGGATACCTACCACATTCGTGGAACGTCCTCACCGAACTCGATGTCCTCCCACCTCCTGTCGCAAAGGAGGCTACGTTCCTCAATGAAGCTATCGCTGCCATCGAAGCAAAGGCGAAGGCGACTGAACTTAGTGGCGTTAGGCAAGAGGAAGCTCAAGCCGCCGGGGCGAGTGTTGACAAAGGTGACAATACCCACGTGGACGGAACATCCAATGGTGGCAACACTACGACGGTTGTATCAGGGCAGAAGGGGTACGGAAATCATAGCGCGGCGGTGACGGCGGCTGCTATGCAACATGTGTGGAATGCGCCAGGGGAGTTGCATCTCGAGGGAGCGACGTTGCTTGGAAGACGAGGCCAGAAGGGATCCAGTGGGTTGAGAGAAAGGTCTGAGCGCGATGCTACTCACGTCGACGGTATCCGAGCAGCCGACCAGATTGTCAACAAGGGCACTGAGACTGGAGGGACCGATCTGGTCGCCAACGGCGGGGACTCCACTTCAACAGCTGAGGCTAGCACCACTGCCGTCGGCTCTCCTCAAGCAACCTATCCCAGCATCAACACCACCTCCAACCCCCAAGTACTTCACCCCACGCTTTCCAACCTCGACGTGCCCCTCCCCCCAGTCCCCGCCGAAAACTACCTCTTCAACTACACCACCCTCTCCCACTCCCTAAAATACCTCCGGCTATCCGAACAAGGCTTCACCTCCCCCTGGACCCTCTCGCCCCTGGGGACCTCCTGCTTCCTGACCATCGAAGGCACAACCCCAACCCCATCCAGCACCCCCAACATAACATCCGACAGCCTCGCCACCACGGTGCTCTGCTCCTACATCTCCATCCCCTCTCTGCCCAACACCACACTCTCGCTCCCGCTACTCTCAGACTTTCTCCTACCAGCAAGAAATAGACGAAGAGATAAAGGCGCCGGCGCAGGCTGGACCCCGGACTCGAAACACGTGACCAGAATCGAGCTAGTGCGAGGCGACACGTTGATCCTGCCACCATGCACTCTGTACCAGCTACACTATACCCACGACACGTTGACCTCGAACGGGATCTTCATGCTGCGGGCGAACCTGCGGCTTTCCCTGCAGACGTGGAAATGGGACAGTCTGGGGAAGAGCAAACGGGCTTTCACGGAGGCGAAAGCGTTGCTTGAGGTGTTCAAGAGCGAGGTGAGACGCGATCCGGAGGGATGTGGGGTTGCTGGTGAGAGTGGGTTGGTGCAGGTTGAACGAGATTGTGCAGTGATTGAGGGGGAGTTGGAGAGGGAGGGGGAGGGCTCTGAGGAGGTTTTGCGGGGGCTGCAGATGGGTGTTGCGAGGGAGTGGGAGGAGTTTAGACGTAGGGAAGCCGGGACCTGATTCTTGACGCGAGATTGACGGACGGATTGTCCTCCTTCATCTTTGCGGTCAGAGGAGAAAAGGGATAGATCGCTCTATTCGTTAGTTTAGCTTAGCAATTCCCGCAATGGTCAATTCCCCATCTCCTCCTCGTGCGCTTGGAATCCTCGATTCTCGTCACATCACCATCAAGAAATAGCTACGAGTGCCGAAGCAGAAGCAGAAGCCTAAAAGCAAGCAAGCAGTGAACACTTCAAACTATTCGTATCTGACATGGCTTTAATCCCATCTCCTTCCCGGCGCAACATTTCCAGACCCCTTCAGTCGACTTCTCCATCCACGAGTTCCGAGATTTGGATTTGATGCGCACGAATGCGGAGTACGCATATCTCTAGAGCGAATAACTCTTCCCCATCGAATCGACGCAAGAACTGTTACAGCAAGTACGCACTATCCATCACCTACTCTAAGCTCCACTACCCATGAACCTTACCTTAAAAGACGCCTTTCCACATCCGCATCAACCGCCCCTACATTAATTCAAGCTTCCAACTCACACAGCGAACCCTGAAATTGCCATGATGATATGATATGATATGATATATAGATAAAGCATCCCCGTTCTCGGACCTATAAACATGCTCAGAAAAATTCCCCACCGCGATCTAAGGGAAAGCAAGTCTAGAAGTACTTAGACGTACAAGGTATGATGGTATCGCAGATATGAAAGAGAAACGCCCCGATCCAATCAGTCCATTCATTCAATTCAATTCAATTCATCCCCAATCCGGGTCAAACCCCGTTAAATCCATTCCGGTCTCCAAATTTGGCGCCCGCTCCGTCTATCTACCAAACCCAACCGACATTCCATTCGCTATGCTTTGCTATGCTTCAAAAGAGTGTGTGCGCCAATCCCGTATCAACAAATCTCAAATGCCCAAATCTAAAAGTCCTCTTTCTAAATCGCCGACTTCTCTCTCTCTCTCTATCTGGATGAACGGATTATTTCTTGCCCAGCCAACTCTTCTTCTTCCCCTCGTTCAAGCTCTCCACGATCCGGCACGAGCCGCGCGACTGGCAGAGCCGCGACCTGCCAAGGTTCTTGTATCGCGGACCGAGAGGTCCGTTGACGTAGTGATACTGCCCTGCAAAGCGCCACTGTCTCCGATCACCCAAGTCGTAGAATTTGTCGCCCCAGTGGCCGTTGTACCACCACCAGCTTAACGGCGCCTTTGGGTTGCAGCTTGCTGGTTGAAAGCTAGACCCGAGTTCCGACGGGGAGAGGGTGTGTGGTGAGGATGGAAAGGGGGAGGTTGGAGACCATGGTGTTGGCGAGCGAGAGCCTGATGCGGAGATGGAGTGCGCGTCGGCGTTGTGGGTAATTGATGTGTTGAAGTGGTATGCCATGTAGTTCAGCGCTGGATCCCAGAGCGGTCCTTTGTCTGTGACGTCCGCGAGTAACCCGAACGGCAGAACGTATGGGTGAGAGCCTGGACTGGCATACATTGCGTGACTTCCCAACGCGCTGTACAGCACCGGTCGTCCATCCCTCCCTTTCCCCTTTCCTTTCTCAACGGCGTTGTAAGAATAGGCGAGGCCGCCGGAGTGAGCGCTGAAGAACACGGCTTTTGGAACTCCGTCCTTGAACCGGATGAGACTGTGTTCCCAATCGCCGACGTGATTCCCGAACCGGATGTTCAGGACGGTAGTGCCCAGGTTGTAGGAGTAGAAGTAAAACCAGAAGGCGTCGAGGATGCCGTTGCCTTTGTCGACCATTACTAGTGTCGCTGGAGCGGGGGAGTAGCCGCCTGGTTTGGGCATCGTTGGTCCTAAATTGCTAGCCTTTGCTCTGCGGGAGGAGGGTCCTGTTGTCCGCTTGGATTTGCGAAGATCGATTTTGAGGTCGGATGCGGGGGCTTCTTGGGGTTTGAGGGGTAGTGCGATCTTGTGTTCCTCAGCGTATCGGTATGGATCCCACCATTCGACGTCTTCATCTTTCGGGTCTGAGGCGTCGGAGAACTCGTATTCTCCAATCTCTTCCACTTCACCGTCATCATCATCGTATGGGACCGGCTTGTTGTATGGACTTCCCAGCCATTCCGGACGGTCTTCAACGTCTTCTTTGCTAGCCATGAAAGAGTATTTCCCCTTCACTTTCTGGTTGAGGCGTTTTAGGTTGTAGAGGGTGTGTCGCTCGTTGGTCATGTTCATCGTTGTGTGGTTCATATAAGGTGTCGTGTACATAAGGTGTTCGTTAATATCAGACGGCCAGAACTGCTCGCCGGAATAGAGGTGTATCAGCGGAGCGTGGTCAAGCACGAACTGCGGGACGTCCTTCAGCACCCTTGGATCCCCTTCCCACTCGTCCGGCGAATTCTTGCCATCATCAATTATGTCCTCCCAATCGGAGTATTCAGCATAAATATCATCCCCACCCAGGAATATCTGGTCGTTCGTGTGCCTCACCACAGACTTCCTGTTCCATGGCTTCATCGCCGGATCAGGACGGTAATGGGCCAGTCCGCAGAGACCTAGGTATCGACATGCCTGCCGGTCTACCCAGTACTTCGACGTCGCGATCCACACATTGTCCTCCCGCTCTTCCTCCGACTTCGAGGTATTCGGGTCGAGATGCGAATGCAGCGCCGACAGCGCAACATAGCTGAGCACAAAGAAGACCACGGCGATCAGCGTCCGCCGCAGATGGTACACCATCTCGAGGCGTACGTGAGACTCTCGTTACTATCGGTCTGCGGAGCGAGGAACGGAAATCATTGGGCTCGTCGACAACCGGCGGAGCGAATGGTGGGGGTTCAACGCAGCGAACGTGTCGACACAGCCGGAATCAGGTTCGAAAGAGAAGGAAACAGAGGTGAGGGTATCCCCGAGTACTAATAGCGGTCGTGGTACTACAGCTGTGCCGGTGACCATAGTCGTTGACGATGCTGATAAATCTGAGTCGGTCTGCTGCCAGCTGCGGTGCGCAGTGCTGACTTGCTGCCGAAGGGTCCGGCGCAGGAGCGAGCTGGCGACGGTGTGTTGGGCGGCCGCCCGAGACAGGCATCGCCAGAATCCAGAATTAATCCAGGATCCAGGCCCCTGTGGAGCAGCAGGGTCGACGTGCCGTGACTGCCGTCCAATCGTTGCCACAGCGTGGGAGTTGATAGGGCAGAGGGGGTGCCGCTCAGGTGCCGGAAACGCTGCAGCGTGCCCCTCTCGTCATCGCTGTTTCGGGAAACGTGCGCACTAGCGAACAAGCACTGGCTCGCCAGACGCCTCTGCCGTAAGCGTCCGCATATAGAAGTATATACAGGTATCTGAGATGCAGTAGTGATTCAGGGTCTGCCCCATGATTCTTTGATATTTATATATCTTGTTATCTTGCACAAAGGATTTCAAGACCTGCGCGAATCCAGAGACAAGTTGGCCGCCCGTGGGGTGTGTTGCTGTTGCAGAGTTGCAGGTGTTTCACTTGCTGGCGCAGACCCGTGGCCAGCATCCCGACTTCTGACGCTGCCGCGTGCAGTGACGTTGTGATAGGCTTTCTTATCGAGACGGACCCCAGCGAGGCGTCCATGCTGCTGATGTGGCATAGTTCGTGCAGCAGCCTCACCCGACAGCGACATTACAGCCAGCTTTTAGAAGCCCAGCGGTTTTACTCGCCGGCTATTCTCAACTCGCAACATTTTCCTTCCGCATGACTAACCCCTTTACTTCGTAATTGTTCCGCTATACTTTCTCTGCCTTCAGTTTCCACTCTTACGAGCATGTTTCTTGCACGACTGGAGCACAGTCCATTTGCTGTGTGGCAAATGCGAATTCTCGGCATTGCGGCTTCGTAGCGGATCTTGCGGATGCATGCCCAACCAAGGTTCACCTTCTAGATGTCAGCTTAGGACTTTAGCTTCAGGACAGCCTGCACCGAATTCGGGAGCGAGGCACACTACAAGAGATCGTTACCGTCGAAAGGTACAAGATGCGGGGAAGTCGTTGAGTAATGACTCGACGGTTCCGGATGTTCCGAAGTCATTTGGAATCTCCCGCAACTGGTTAGAGTCACGTGATCTACATTGTTGCACAAGGACTTGAGGTCCTAAAACCTCTGGTGCACTGAGCATTGTAGTTGAGCGAAGAGTGAACCTTGGAAGCCAAGGATTGTGTACATCGACCCAATCGTTTAGCGACTTTAGTACATTGAGATCATTGTTTAAGTAGGCGATGAATCTTGACAATCAAGTTTCTCTTGCACATCGACTTAATGTTCGAATACTCCTCTTCGTACTTGATACAGATGGCAACCCTCACCAATACCTAGTGGATCTCGTTTGTGTAGATGAAAAGAATATAAACACCCATGAAGCGAGATTGGTGATGGCTTCCAGAGATAATGCAGACAGTGCCTTGCAAGCTGCAGAGGGATTGAGCTGTTGGCAACCAGTGTAGGTTATAGTGTAAACTGCAGTTTGAAACTGCAGTTTGGAATTTTATTATTAAACTACAGTTTATATTAGGTAAACTAAACTGAGGCATGTCAAGACTAAACTAAACTATAATTATATCGTCTAAACCGTAGTTTAAACCGCCAAACTGACAGTTTACACGTGATCAACTCCGATTTTTCCCTTAACCTCCGCTACCTCTACTCTAATAATCTCCTCTAAGTACCTATACTCTCCTTCCTATTCCTTAATCTTATACCATGATTTCAGATACTCAAAAGCCTCAATAATATCCATACTAAGCTTATTCTAAAGTTCCGTAATTAGGAGCTTAGTGCTTGAGAAGAAATATTCGGGATTAGCTAATATAGCTAGAATTAATAATATATCTAATACTAGCTTACTCAAATTAGGATAATTAACCTATTAAGTTATTTCAAGCCACCAAGTGCGAGAATTAATGTTATATGTGTAATTAGCAATATAGTATCTCTTATATTTGTCTTTAATACTCGGAATTAATTAGTAATACTTCTTCTAGTCTATAAAGGCATTCTTTTTAGTAAAGGTTTCCGAAGAAGTCATAGACTAAGAGAATATAGCAGAGGTTAAATCAGGTAATTTATACTTATTCCAGAGCTTTTCTATTATATCCTTCGCGTTTAGGACCTAGTCTGCTTTCTAATTATTCTTAATATACTTCTACTTAGTATTCGGATCCAGAATAATTCTAGTAATATAAGCAGAACTTTTATTAGTTATCCTATAATATTTCTCTATCTTTGCCTAGCCCAAATTAAATATAGCTATTATAGTTTTATTTGTTTTATAGGCCTCCTTAAAATACTCAAATTACTCCAGAATAAAGTCTATTATAGGTAAGATATTATTAAGGATAGAAACTAATAATTCCAGAGCTAGCATAATTTAAGTAAGTTAATTAAGGAAGTCATATATATTACGAAAAGTTTTCTAGTTCTCCTTTAATAGCTAATTCTTCCTAACTTCCTCCGTAAAGTATTAATGAATATAAGTATTAATAGCTTTAAAGACAAGAGATATAATTAACTTCTTAATTATTCGGGCCATAAAATTCCAATATGTCTTATTATCTCTTATAAGTTAATTCTGCTTACTTATTCCTATAAATTCCTGTATCTTTTGGGTACTGCTTTAAATATTAATAATAATATTATAGAGCTTACTAATAGAACCAAACTTTTGCTATTCCTTAATATCCTTTAATAACTACTTGAGCTAAGTAACCTCCCTATCCTTTTTTAAATTCTCCTTATTAGTAATATAAAAAAAAGAATTAATAAATAGGTTAATAATATAGCCTTAATAATAAAGTCTATAGATAGTAAAATTATAGGATATATTATATAAATATAGAAATTCTATAAAAGTTAGCTAATATATACTAAATTACTATATAAAGTATATATTTTTAGAAATATATATTATTATTATATTATTATTACCCGTATTATCTATTATAATATAACCAAGCTTATAAGTAATATCCCAATTATGAATAATCTCTATAATAACTAGTACCAGGTTCTCTCCTTTATAATTTCCCTTAATCTCCTTTATAGCAAGAATAATATGCTCTAAGACTCCTAAACTAGATATATAATAGGTAATAATACCAAGAATAAGCTTAGTATTTGGGGATATCCAAATATTAAGAGATAAGTAAATCTTAGTCTTATTATTATATAGCTTAGCCTTAATTTTATATTTCTTAGCCTCAAATTAGCATATAACCCAGGTTCGAATAATATTATATATATGATTTAGCTATTAATTAACGTCCTTATTTAAGTAAGAGAGTAAGGCTCTAAACTCTAGGTATTTAATAAGGCATAGTAGCATATTACAGGCAATAATAAAGCAAATATATAGAACCTCAAGTATATCTCTATCTAATAGCATATCTCTACTATCTAAATTATTAAGTTTCCGGTGCTTTTATGGGTTTTCCTTTACTATAGCCATTATATTTTTAATATTAATTTAAATATTCTTTACTTTTTTCTCTACCAGGAAGTCTTCTTTAATATTATAAACTTCCTTCAAGTACTTTCTAATTATACTAGTATTACTAGTTAATATATAGTTCTATATATAGAACTTATATCTCTATTTCTCTTTTCCTTTATTATTTAAGAAAATATATTATATCCTAATATCCCCTCGCATATACTTATAAACCCATAACTTTCGCTCCTTACGCTTCTTTTCCTTAGTAAGTAGTAAATTAAATAGTTCGGACATATTTTATATCGAGCTTTAGGAATCGGGTTTAGGCATATCTAATTTAACTACAGGAATAGTAAAAGAGCTTGAGAAGGTCGATTTCCCGAAAAAAAGCTTGCTTTAGCCCTTCAGAAACATGGTGCTTTATAGCTTTAATATCGAGAAGGAGGTATAATTACAAGAGAAAAAGAGAGAGGTTTATAGGCACTATTCGCGAAAATTTTTCCTTCATATAATAGCCAAAGTCAATAGTAAATCACTTCAAGAATTAAGATAATTATATTACCTATTTATTTTATAACCACTATATATAAAAATTTATTTTTTAATTTATTTTAAAGCTCTCGGTCTAGGCTATCTATTAATAAAACTTTTATTAAATTACGTTAAGGTTTGATTATTTTATTAAATACTACTATTATAGTCGATCTCGTAATTTTAAGCAAGTTCTCCCCCTTAAACTGGATTTAAACTATAGTTTAAACCACTAACTACCAGCTCAAACTGCAGTTTGAACTAGCCGAACTAGACTAAACTACTACCTCCTTAGGTTCCACTAAACCACCAAAATGGAGTTTAAACTGGACTGAGGTTAAACTATTACCTACCCTGTTGGCAACCTTCGAGAGTGTTGTCTCCTGATTGATTTTTGTTTTGGCACATCCAGCTACCAAGGTACTCCTCAAACTGGAGCTAGCCTTTCGCACGAGCAAGCTGCCACAGTAGCTGAGCAGCCTGAGCCTGAGCTTGTACTGCTGCTGAGTCTGTTCATCCGTTGCTGGTTCGACATATGCTCTTCTTATATACTCCCAGCGTATCCAGATTTCAAGTCGCTCAATATGACTCTGTAGGGCCTCGTATCGGTTTAGGGTACTGCTTTTTCTAGTAGAGGCCGGCGGGGTATAAATTTGGAGTAACGGCAGTAGACAAGTACTCGGGGTGCATAATCGACAGGACAAAGTTCCCAAAGTGGACAGATATTTGATTCTGACGTCCACCGGGGATATATTA